GCCTCCCAAAGCACTTGGATTACAGGTGTGAGCCACTGCGCCCTATATCTATTTTATATTGCCCTTCAGGGCTACACTGCAAGTGTCTTCTTCCCAGAGACTCTGTCCCCACCACCACAAGAAACTCTCAGGCCAGGCGCAGTGGCTCACACCTGTAATCCCAACACTTTGGAAGGCTGAGTCAGGAGGATCACCTGAGGTTGGGAGTTTGAGACCAGCCTGATGAACACGGAGAAACCCCATCTCTACTAAAACTACAGAATTAGCCGGGCATGGTGGTGCATTCCTATAATCCCAGCTTCTCAGGAGGCTGAGGCAGGAGAATTGCTTGAACCTGTGAAGAGGAGGTTGTGGTGAGCTGAGATCCTGCCATTCCACTTCAGCCTGGGCAACAAGCATGAAACTCTGTCTCGAAAGAAGAAACTCTCTTCTCCAGTCTCTCAGCATTCATTTTCTCTTTTCTGTGGACCTACCTGACAGGTAGGGACCTCTCTTCCTTCCATACCCAGCACGCAACTTGGTACAGGGTTAATTGCTCAATACAGGTTTCTTATTGAACTGAACTGAGCTACCACGTGATAGGAAGTACTGCAGTTAGAGTCAAGGAAGAACTTTTCCCTCTAAGTAGAAGTCGGAAACCAGGAAACTTGCAAAGTCTTTTTTCCCCCCTCATCTGATATAAAATCTCAACTCCTAGGAATGCTTCCACCAAAAGGCAAAAGACTGAACCAGGAGACTTCTTCAAATCCAATTTAGCTCATCTCTAGGGAAATGCTACTTCCTCCCTCCCTACAGAACTCAAGATCCCTATTTCCCAACTCACGCTCCTGGAAGTGTCTGGCTGTAGGTGGTGGTGTCCCAGTAGGAGGCCCTGGGTGGGGCGTTGGGTCTGGCTGTCCCTGAAGCTCAAGGGGGTACGCCGGGGCTCTCAGAACCGAAGTAATGTCCTTGCGTCCCACCACTCGGCCCTCAGCTCCTTCCTCAGACAGCTCAATGCGGAAGCGGTCCTGGACATCATAGTGGCTGGGAATGGGTGCCACGTGGCGAATCACACTGGTCCCAAGGTAAGACAGAAGCCCATTGGGGTGAAGTGAGTGAGAGACAGTAATCCAAGGAAATCCGGGTCTCCCCCCAGAAGTCTGTCCCTTAGGGGCACAGACAGAGGGCAGGGAAAACAAGAGGGCAAGGTCTCAGACCTAAGACAACAGGTGGCAGCGACCCCTGGCTTCCATCAGCATCCCCACCCTCCCAGCTCACTCACATGTCAATGCAAGACTGAGGCTTCACATATCCCTCTGCGTCAAACACCGTGTATTTGGCAGGTGCTGTGCACAGGACTGGGGATAGAGACACACACAGACAATCCTTGCCATGTGGGTCATTTGGGTCCCCTCTACCTTCTGCCCCGGAGGCTGGACATGACTTTCCCAATCCGCCAAAGCTGGACGTCCGACCCTACCCATCTGACTCCTCCAGCCAACACAGCCCCCCAATGTCCGGCCGCCAGCCCCCAGACCCCTTGCACGAGGCGCCGATCCCTTTACCTCGGAAGCGAAGCGCTGTTCCTGTGGGGTTATAGAGGGTCAGCAGCTGTCGGGGTCCGCTCCGCTGGTCCGCCCTGAATACTAGATCCGGGGGAAAGACCAGGACCGGGACAACGGGTCCCAAGGGAGGAGGGGCGCCCCGGGACCCCCGCCCAGGGGGCCCCGGACCCACCAGCTCCTGGTCCTGGGGCGCCCCACGGCGCATGCAGGCTCTGGGCGGTTGGACATCCGAGGGCAGAGCTCAGGGGACAGGGCCTGGAGTCGAGAGCTGGGGGGCGTGAGGGGTGAAAGGGGACAAGATGAGCACCCGGGGCAGGGCCTGGACTGACGCCGCCGCTGCCGCCTCGAAACCCCGCTGGATGGGGCTCCCGCAGATCCAGGCCCTGGGCCCCCAAGCCCTTCCCTCTTCCAGCTCTGCCCCAGGTTCCTTTGGACCCGAGAAGCCCCACCTCGACAGCCACGCCCACCCCGCTAAACCCGGCCCCTCGCAATTCCCAACCCGGCCTTCTCCTCAGGCCCGGCTCGCGATCTTCATAAGCCCCGCCCCGCCGCTGGCCTCGCCTCTTCCGGGCGTTCCCGGACGCCTGCCTCCTCTCTGCGGCCAGACTCCGCCCACTGCAGCGGCCGCCTGCGGAGCAACCTCTGACGCTTCCTGCTTCCCGGGAGACCTGTGTTTGCGTCTCGGACACGGGCCCGATCGAGCTTCTGCCTAGTAACGGCCGCTCGCGCTAGGATGTCCGCCTTGTATTCGAAGCACCTGCCGGTCAGCTTGTGGTCAGACTAAGGATGCCATGTTTCCGAGAGTCCCTTTCTGCACTTCCGCCGTACGACTTCTGTTATTGGCCAGAGCATCTTTGTTTCCGCCATAACTATACGCCGATTGGTGCGCTGAAAGCCCAAATAGAACGCCCTCCTACTGTCGTCTGCGATTGGCTGGGTTCCGGTGACGTAACAATTTTACTGGCTCGAACTCGAGCCCTGAAGTAATTCAGAGAAACGGGGGCGGGGCTTCGAACTGGGCTTTGTTTCTTCTCCCTATTCTGATACCCTCCAAGTCAATCTGCCACCTGGACGTTCTTTTCCTCCTCTTCAGTTCCAGGCTACCTTAAAAGCGTCTGCAGGAATCAAAGCCTATTTTCTTTTCTGCTTTTTTTTTTTTCGAGACTTAAGTCTCGCTCTGTCGCCCAGACTAGAGTGCAATGGCACGGATCTCAACTCACTGCAACCTCCGCCTCCCAGGTTCAAGCGATTCTCCCGTCTCCGCCTCCCGAGTAGCTGGGATTACAAGCGTGCGCAACCACGCCCGGCTAATTCTTTGTATTTTTAGTAGAGACACGGTTTCGCCTTGTTGGTCAGGCTGGTCTCGAACTCCTGACCGTACTCTCCTCAGCCTCCCAAAATGCTGAGATAACAGGCGTGAGCCACCATGCCCAGCCTCTTTTTTGCTTTTTTAGAGAGTCTCACTCTGTTGTCCAGGCTGGAGTGCAATGGTGTGGTCATTGCTCACTGCAGCCCCCAACTCCTGGGTTCAAGCTAGTCTCCTGCCTCAGCCTCCCGAGTAGCTGGGATTACAGGCGTGCACCACCATGCCTGGCTAAGTTTTGTAACTTTTTGTAGAGACAATCTCGCTATGTTGTGCAGGCTGGTCTGGAACTCCTGGGCTCAAGCGATCCTCCCACTTAAGCCTCCGAGAGTGCATGAGCCACTGTCCCTCCCCCAGGCTCAAAGTCTGTTTTGTATGGCACTGGTTGGAGGTTCCATCCATCTGGGACTCCAGCCTGAGTCTCGCCTCCTGTTTACTTTCCTGTAAGGGACGTGGGAAATCACTCACATTTGCACAGGGAATTAAGATTTGCTAATTTCAAACCCACGTTGTTCCAGTAATTATATATTTTCAAAAAGGATTTGCTAAACCCTGCCACTTTAAATGCATTCAATCTTCAACTCCTTTTACAGCCTGGATAAGGTGAAGAATCTTATCTTAGGGCACCCTGTTAGCAATGGAGCAAAGACAAAATCGATCTTTTCTGAAAGTCTCCTCTGAACATCTTACATAGAATCCCCCTGTGCGTTTTTGTTTTGTTTTGTTTTGTTTTCCCCTGGAGACGGTCTTGCTCTGTCACCCAGGCTGGAGGGCAGTGGTTCAGTCATAGCTCACTGCAGCCTCCACCTGCTTGATTGGGCTCAAGCAATCCTCCTGCCTCAGCCCTCTGAGTAGCTGGGGCCACAGGTACGCACCTCCACACCCAGCAAATCGCATTTGTTTTTTTTTTATATCACTTATAGTGATACTTGGCCTCCTATTTTATTGTTTCTCTCTCCTCCAGTAGAATGTTCTTTCCTTTTCACAAGAGCAGGGACTTTGTTTAGTTTTCTGTTGTATCTTTAGCACTTATGACAATGCCTGCCATTTGGAATGAGCAAATGAATGAGTGACTAGGATGAGTTTTGAGCACAGAGATCTGACTGGATGTAGGAAGTGAGCCGTGAGATATATCTATGGGAGAGAATTCTGGGTAGAGGAAACAGCAAAAGCCTAAAACAGAAGTGCACTAGAAATGAGCAACAAGCTGCCAATATGACTGGAACCGATGGTACATTGGAGACGGTAGACATGAAGCTACGAGGCAGGAGAGAGAATGCAGATGATGTACAGTCTTGAACCCTTGGTAAGACTTGGGAAACTACAGGAAAGTTTTGAGTAAAGGACAAGATGTGACATATCAGTTGGGCATGGTGGCTCAACGCCTGTAATCCCAGCACTTTGGGAGGCCGAGGCGGGCAGATCACGAGTTCAAGAGATCGAGACCATCCTGGCCCTCGTCTCTACTAAACAATATAAAAATTAGCTAGGCATGGTGGCAGGTGCCTGTAGTCCCAGCTACTCAGGAATCTGAGGCAGGAGAATTGCTTGAACCCAGGAGGCTGAGGTTGCAGTGAGCCGAGATCGCACAACTCCACTGCAGCCTGGCGCCTGGTGACAGAGCAAGACTCTGTCTCAAAAAAGAAAGTGCTGGGATTACAGGTATCAGCCATTGCACCTGGCCTGTGACTTACATCATTTTTTTTTTTTGAGACAGGTTCTTACTCTGTTTCTCGGGTGGAGTACAGTGGCATGATCACAGCTCACTGCAGTTTCTACCTCCCCAGGATCAAGCAATCCTCCCTCCTCAGCCTAAGTAGCTGGGACTACAGGTGTGCACCACCACGTCTGGCTAATTTGTGTATTTTTTGTAGCGAGGGGGTTTTACCATGTTGCCCAGGCTGGTTTTGAACTCCTGAGCTCTGCAGTCCTCCTGACTCAGCCTCCCAAAGTCCTGACTACAGTTGTGAGTCACTACACCTGGTACATTCTTAAAAGATTATTCTGTATAGTAAATATGTGTTGAATGAATGAATGAATAGAAATCCTCAAGATGGACCCAATACCGTAAACATGGAGATCTGACCCCTTCCTCAGTTAAGAAACATTTATTTGCATAAGAAAGAAGGCCTAAGGGCTGGGGGCCGGGGCCGGCCTGTGTCTCAGGCCGGGGACTCGGCAGCCTGCACAGGTTGGGAGAGGCACTTCCTCTTGCTTAGGTTGGTGAGGATCTGGTCCTGGTTGGGCCGGTGGAGAACCACAAAGCTCTCTGGAGGAAGGACGGGACCTCTGTTCTCTTCCACCTGGCCCATCAGCAGATAACTGGCTCCTGGAACAGGGAGGGGAAGGAGGGGTTAAGATCTCATATTCTTGACACCTGTCAGCACACCCTCTCACTCAGATTCCACACCTTGATCATTTCACTGTGACTTAGCTCGCCCCATCCCCATTTCCCCACATCTCTGTTACCTTTCTTCATGGGGGGGCACTGCTTGCAAGGCACGTAAAACTTCAGGGAGGCACCAGTGGGTGGAGAAGGTAGGTCCAGTCCTCCAGTTTTATAAGCACCAATAAGACTAACAGTGACTGTGAGGCCCTCTCCTGGGCCCCGAACCATGGACTTCACTGTTGCAGTCACCACTGTGGGAGAATGGGAGTGAGAGATGAGATGGGAGGTTCCAGATGGCAGGACTGAAACCAGAATGTGGTTTGAGGAGCTGGACCGGGGTGCGGGGGTGTTCTTACCCAGGCTGCTGGCACAGAAGTTGCTCTGCAACGTGCCTGTCCGGCGGCACTGCTTTGGGCAGGTGACAGTGGGTGCATCTAGGAGGAAGGTGGTGGAGGGTGACCTGTTCAGCAGGTAGGAGGGAGCATTGTCCCCATAACAGTCTCACTGACTTTGAACTATTCAGAGCTCTGTCGGCTTCTGGTCCCAGCACCCAGTAAGGGCCATTGGCAGGAAGGAGGCACCAGTGAGTACCAGATGAATCAGTAAGTGAATGTAGCCAAGGAAGAAATTGTTTGTTTGTGTAAGATGGAGTCTTGCTCTGTTGCCCAGGCTGGAATGCAGCAGCACTGTCATGGCTCACTGAAGCCTCAACCTCCCCAGCTCAAGTGATCCTCCCACCTCAGCCTCACAAGTAGCTATGACCACACACCTGGCTAATTTTTTTTTTCTTTTTTTTTTTGAGACAGTCTCACTCAGTTGCCCAGGTGCAATCTCGGCTCACTGCAACCTCTGCCTCCCAGGTTCAATTGATTCTCCTGCCTCAGCCTCCCAAGTTGTTTGGGATTACAGGTGTGCACCACCATGCCTGGCTAATTTTTTGCTCACACCTATAATCCCAGCTCTTTGGGAGGCTGAGGTGGGTGGATCACGAGGTCAAGAGTTTGAGACCAGCCTGGCCAACATAGTGAAACCCCGTCTCTACTAAAAATACAAAAAAATTAGCCAGGCGTGGTGGCAGGAACCTGTAGTTCCAGCCACTCAGAAAGCTGAGGCAGGAGCATCGCTTGAACCCAGTAGGTGGAGGTTGCAGTGAGCTCAGCGCGAGCCACTGCACTTCAGCCCTAGCGACAAAGAATTTTGTATTTTTAGTAGAAATGGGGTTTCACCATGTTGGCCAGGCTGGTTTCAAACTCCTGACCTCAGGTCATCCGCCCACCTTGGCCTCCTAAAATGCTGGGATTACAGGTGTGAGCCACCAGCCTGTCCTACTTTTTTGTTTTGAACTCCCAGACTTAATCGATCCTCCTGCCTGGGCCTCCCAAAATGCTGAGATTATAGGCATGAGCCCCAGCACATCAGAACTTTTTGAAATGGGTCCTTTCGTCTGTTTCCCCTTCTCTCCCATCCCAGACTCACCAGGGGCAATGGGAGTTTTCTCTGGAGGTTGGGGCTTGAGAGGTGGCTTGACTTTGGGCTCAGTTCCCGGTTTGGGGCTGGGGCCTGGCCCTTCTTTGGCAGCGCCCCGAGGCAGGGTCTTGTAGGAGGCTGAGAAGCCGTCAGCGGTGACGCTGAGATCTGAGACAAACTGGACAAGGAGTTCATTCCCTTCGGAGGAGATGGAGCTGCAGGTGGCCACCGAGCATGTCAGGAGAGGGTGTGCATCACACTCCCTACCCAGCCCCGTGACCTTGTTTGTTGAGACAGGGTCTCACTTTGTCTCCCAGGCTTGAGTGCAGTGGCTCGATCTAGGCTCACTGCAGCCTCAGCCTCCTGGATTTAAGCAATCCTTTGCCTCAGCTCCCCAAGTTGCTGGAACTACAGGCACACCACCACGCCCAGCTAATTATTTTGTATTTTTAGTAGAGACAGGGTTGCGCCATGTTGCCCAGGCTTGTTTCGAACTCCTAAGTTCCGTCGATCCTCCCGCTTCATCCTCCCAAAGGGCTATGATTACAGGCATAAGCCACTACGCCTGGTCCGGTAACCTTTTAACTTCATCCCAACTTCGCAGAGCCCGACTCGCCTCTCTATCCGCAGACCCCAGCTCCAGGGCCAAACCTCCTCTTCGCCTGGCCTCGAACCTGCTCCCCTCGCCGGTTTGGAGCCCAAAGCCCCGCCCCCTCCAAACAGCCGCGTGCGCGATCCCCGCCCTCCACTCTCTCACCGGGATTCGCCGTCCACCCTGGTCCCGCCCCTCACCCCGGGACCGCGTCGCCGCAGAACTTCCCCAGCCTCCGGGCGTCGTCGCTCACGGCTCCGTTGAACACGCTGACCGAGTCGTAGCGGCAGTAGGTGTCCGGCTCCAGGTCAAACTTCTCGAAGGTTAGCGCGATGACCTGGTGGCGGACGGAGGCGGGGGCTGTGCGGCGGGACACCCCTCGGCGCCGGGACACCCCTCGGCGCCGGCACCTCACCTCCTACTGGCTGCCTGCAGCAGCCCCCATTCCCACCTCCCGCGTCCCCTGGGCCCCCTCCTGAGGGCGTTCACACCACAGCAAGGAAGACCACACACCCAAGGGACCCTGCAGGGGCGTCGGTCGTCGTCGTTGGCAAGGTCAAGTCCTGGCGCACTCACAGGGACAGAGCCGCGTGTTATACCAGCACCCTGTACCTCCCTCTCCGGAGACTTGTCTCAGTTGCAATTTTTATATTTTTGTTTGCATGCATGCAGGGTCTGGGGCAGTTTGGGGATCCCACCAGCGCAAGCGCAGTTCAATAAATCTTTGCTGGCTGCAAGCCGGAGGGCGCCGTCTGGGTCCCCGAGGGCAGCCCGGGGAGGAGGGTCGGTACCTGGTCCCGGGGCGCGATGATGTGCCAGGAACAGCTGATGCCCGGGGGGTAATCGGACTCGGGCCAGTTGGGCGTGGTCAGGGTTCCCTGGGCCTTCTCCAGCCGCCCCCCGCAAAATTGGTGCTCTGAGGAGGGGAGAGAGGAGCGGGGTGGGGGGGGGTGGAGACCCTCGGTCAGCTCTAGGAGAGCTCCCGGCTGGGAGCCCCGACAGGCAGCTTGAATGTGGGGCTCAGGATGAGGTGACGAGAAGAAGGGGAGGTAAGATGGGGGCAGGTTAGCAGAGAGTGGCCGGGAGGAGCGCGGCTCGGGGAAATTTGGGGCCGCAGGGCGCACAGGCGGGCGGTGGAAGCGGTAGGAGGAACTGGCTGGACGCCCCCTTCTGGCCCCTCCCCGACCCGCGGCCGCACCGCGCCTCTTCCCCTAGGAGATCCCATCTCCCCGGCCCGGCAGCACAGTACCCTTTCAGGCTGAAGAAGAGGGTGTCCTCGACTTGGGACACAGCCCCCGAGGCCCCCTTTGAGGAGATCCCCGCCTGAAACATTGCAAGGGAAATTTCTGCCGCCAGGAGTGGGTGATGGGACCGCAATCGGGAGCCCAGGTCTGGGTGTAGAGGGAGCCCCCCCGGGTCGGAGGAACCTAGTCCCCCAGCCCTGGGGTGCCCCCTCGCGCCCGTGTAGGGCGCCCGATTGCGGACGGGGGCGGGCATTTACTCACCGTCCCAGTAACCCCAGGCCGCCCATTCCACCCGCGGGTCCGTGACCCATTTCCGCCTCGCGCCTGGGGGGGGCCCTGGAAGAGGGGATGGGTGGGTGCGGGAGGGGGGGAGAGAAGACGGGGAGGAGGGACTGAAGGGGCAGTTAGTGAGGAGAATGGGTCAGGGAGGTAAGGGGCCCTAGGCGCTGGGGCGCGGGGTGGGCAGGGCGGAGGTTAGGGCTGGGGCAGGGCTGCGCCCGGGGCGGGGCCTGGAGGGGGGAAAGCGGAGGTGAGGGAGGTCTCACCAGTGCCCGAGGTGGCCCGCCCGCTGTACCAGAGCAGGAATCCTCGTCCTCCTGTGCCCTCGTCTGCCGTCATCCTCAGGGTCACCTGGTTGCCGGGGGCGACTAGGGGCGCAGGCCGGAAGGTCCCGCAAAAGCGTCCGAGCCGCTGGCCCGAAGTCCCAGACCCAGCGAAGACCTCCAGAGCATCGTAGCGGCAGGCAGGGTGTAGCTCCAGGTCGAAGACCCGGAATGAGAGGGACACTGTCTGGCCCTCGGGGACCTGATATCGGGGACAGAGGTGGGGACCCACAGAGTCAGGCTCCACACAACCCAGCCAGAGGGTAGCTCCCCTGCCCAAGCGTTTCTTGCAGAAACGGACTGAACAGGAAGGGACCTGCATGTGAGTGCAGGGCAGAGGGCCTGGTCTCTGCAGCTCTGCTGGTGGCCTGTGCAGGGGACAGGAGCTGAGGCTTTGGAAGATGAGAGAGGGTTAGGGGCTGGAGAATGAGAATTTGAGGGAGTGATTAAGAGAGTGTTTGTTGCTTGGGAATGATGCCTTCAGTGACAGAGGGAAGGAAGCTGCCCCAGGTTGAGAAGGTGGTGCTGGGGGAGGTGGGGGTCCCTTCACAGTCAGGCCTTTGCCCCTTTGACAAGGGATAGTGCCCAGAGAGGCTTCTCACCGTTATGGTCCAGATGCACTCCTTATTAGGTGGGTAGAGGTTGGGGAACCCCTCACTTGCCACGTAACCTGATTCCCCTTTCACATCCCCTCCGCACAGGAACACAGGTCTGGAGAACAGAAGAAAGGTCAGAAGAGAGCAGGGACCGGTGGGATGATGGGGGAGCAATGGCAAGATGGGAATGGGGTGATGAGGATGAAACTCCAGGGAGGGAAGCCAGGGAACGAAATGGAAAGGCCTTAAGAGACCTGGGCAGGGCCAGGCACGGTGGATCACGCCTATAATCTCAGCACTTTGGGAGGCTGAGGTGAGCAGATCACCTGAGGTCAGGAGTTCAAGTCCATCCTGGCCAACATGGTGAAACCCCATCTCTTACTAAAAATACAATTTGTTTTTGGAGACAGAGTCTCACTCTGTCACCCAGGCTGGAGTGCAGTCGGCTCACTGCAACCTCCACCTGCTGGGTTCAAGCAATTCTTCTGCCTCAGCCTCCTGAGTAGCTGAGACTACAGGCACCTGCCACCACACCTGATTAATTTTTTTGTATTTTTAGTAGAGACGGGGTTTTGCCACGTTGGTCAGGATGGTCTCAAACTCCGACCTCAGGTGATCCACCTGTCTCAGCCTCCCAAAGTCCTGGGATTACAGGCGTGAACCACTGTGCTTGGCTAAAAATACGAAAACTAGCCCGGTGTGGTGGTGCACACCTGTAGTCCCAGCTACTCAGGAGGCTAAGGTTGGAAGAATTGCTTGAACCTGGGAGGTGGAGGTTGCAGTGAGCTGAGATTGCGCCACTCACCACTCCTGCTTGAGCAACAGAGCAAGACTTCAAGACTCCGTCTTAAAAAAAAATCAGGGAAAGGTGGGAATGAGAGGGGATGGAGTCATGAGAATGAAACTCCAGGGAGGGAAGCCAGAGAACGAAATGGAAAGCCTTGTGAGACCTGGGCAGCTTCCACCAGCCAGGATAGGGCTGGGGTGTCCCAGACTCCAACAGAAGATAAGGGAAAAGTGGGCCTGGTAACTTGACCATCCCTGCAACCCCACCCCCACCCCAACAGGAATTCCCGGAATCCTCCTCGGCCCCCCTTCCTGACTCCCCCCCTCATTCTGCCTGGCAGTCCGGGGACAGGAGCCGCCTAACTACTTCCAGATGTGGACACAGCCACGAGGCGATGGGGGGGAGGGAGCGGCAGTGGTGATGGCCCTCACAGTGAGCCTGGAGGCCAGGCTCCCCAAGCTCCTTACCTTAGCCCTGCCCCTGTTCCTAACTACTTCAGAATCTGACTCCCACGTCTCCACTCGCTGCCCCCTCCTCCCCCTACAATACCTCTCTAATTCCTTCCTGGATTCCAGCTACCAGGCAAGTTCAGGAACGGGGCTCTCTCTTGGGTTCTATGGGGAGCCAAGGATCTGGATGGGTGGGAGACTTAAGAGACCAGAGGGCGAAAGTGGGGGAATGGGAGCAGTGATGGCCTGTGGTAGACCAAGGTCTTACAGCAGATGTGGAGCAGTTGGGGGCCAGAGAAGGGTGAGGTGGTGGGGAATCTGGGGAGTGGTGTGTCAGCCACAGAACCCAAATTATGCCCAGGCATAACCCCCCAGGAATTGGGAGTCTGAAGTTCACTGGAGCTGTCTGGAAGATGCCAAGAGACCTACCTGGTATAGTTGGGGGTCTGGCCCTGGGCAAAAGGCAGCAGGGCACAGACAGTGAGGAGGGGCCCCAGGAGGGAGGCTGTGGCTGTAGGCAGCATGGCCTAGAGGAAAGGCGGTGGGGTCCTCAAGACAGAAGCAGCAGCTGAATTTTGCAGAGCAGCAGTGGCGGCGGCAGCGGCAGCAGCAGGATGATCAGCGCCAGATGGGGCAGCTTCGGGTGTGTGGGCGTGGGGACTGGCCAGTGGGGCGGGCGGTGGGGAAGGCGGGACAGTGGAGCGTCCTGGGACCTCTCTAGGTCTAGGACACATAAATATTGACCTAAGAAGAAGGAGCAGTAGTGAGGGGCAGAGGCCATCACCCAGGCCTCAAGTAATGTTGTCGGGAATTCCACTCTATCCAGTGAGGGAGCATCTTGAGGACCTTCTGAGGATTCCCTATCTCCCATCAACCCCCAGCCCCTGCTTCCTCAGCTCAGGAGCCCTCATTGCTCACCCCCTGCCTGACCACCCCTGCTAGCTCATTTTCCACTTTAAAAATTTTTTTTTTTTTTTTTTAAGACAGAGTCTCATTCTGTGACCCAGGCTGGAGTGCAGTGGTGCGATCTTGGGTCACTGCAACCTCCACCTCCTGGGTTCAAGCAGTTTTTGTGCCTCAGCCTCCCAAGTAGCTGAGATTACAGGCACCCATCTCTGTGCCCAGCTAATTTTTATATTTTTAGTAGAGACGATGGCTTACCATCTTGGTCAGGCTGGTCTCAAACTCCTGATCTTGTGATCCACTTGCCTCGGCCTCCCAAAGTGCTGGGATTATAGGCGTAGCCACTGCGCCTGGCCATCACTTCAACTTTCTACTGCCTTCTCTCCGGACCTAGGCCAGGCTAGGCCAAGGAGGAGGAATTCTTCCAAATGACCTCTTCCAAATACTTGAAAGTACAGGAAGTGAGACAGGAGGTGTGGGGTGTGGACAAAGGGAATGTCTCTATTACTGAGGAAGACGTGCAAGGAGTAGAAAATCGGGGGGAAAGGACAAATGAGCCCAGACCCAGGAGGTAAACAGCAGGAAGAGAGGAGGGGCTGGCTTCAGGTCAAAGGGAGATGGGTGGGAAGCTTTCGAGGGTCAGGAGGAACCTGCTGCCTCAGGACGGGGTTAAGTTTAGTAGACAGGGGATCCCAGTGGGGTAGCCAAGAGCATCTGTGCAAAGAGTTGTTCCAGAAGGTGGGCTGGGACTTCCCAGTTCCAACAACCGGGTAGGCTCTTGGGAGCAGGGAGTGGACAGCAACGTGATGGCTTCAGACACCATCAGCTCTGCAGCACCTGAGACCTGGAGCTGCTTGTGCTGCCTGCCCCTGCCTGGGCTTCTGCCCTCCCACACCCACTGAGCCGGGCAGCAGGCCACCATCCCTGCCCCTGGCCCTCCAGCCCCCAGGCTTCCACACCAGGCCTCGCTGCAGCCTTTTATTGTATCCATCAAATTTCTTGTCCATGATAGTCAGATTGGGGGCCCCTCCTGGACAGCCCCCTGAACATTTTACAAAACAATTCCCTGCCCTACCCTGGCTAGTGGTCCCCAGCCCCTAGCAACCCCATCCCATATGCATGTGCAGAGTGGTCATTGCTCCTTAGCCCCTGGCTGGGGCGGACTCCCTCCAGGGGTCGGGCTAGCATGAGGGGGATTAGCTCTCAGGGACTGGGGGCCGCCACCCCCACCTCCCACATCCTGCTGCAGCATGTCCAGGGCCTCCCAGAAGAAGTCCTTCTGTGCGGCCATCAGGGGCATCCACCCTATGATCTCCTTCATCTTCTCCATACGGTCCTGCCACGTGTGGCAACTGTGGATCTGGCTGAGGTACTCCTCGCAGGCCCGGGCCGTTCCCCCAGGGTCCTGGGGTGCTCCAGCCCCTAGGCTGGGCTCAGGAGTCCCCATCACCCTGCTGGCCGGCAGGTCGCGATAGGAGGTGTGCTCCTCAATGTCATGGCTGGATAGCATGTAGAGACAGTCCCTGGTGGCGCAGAGGGCACAGGCACACAAAGGGACCTTGGAAGAGGCGAGAAAGGGGTGGGGCTGAGTGGTGCTTTCCTTGCAGGGGTTCCCAGGGAGCCCAGGCTAATCTGTCTATTGTGTTCTTCCCTCTCATACCAGCCCTGAGCCTGCTAAATCCCAGGGGTGTTGTGGCCAGCACAGTCTGCTAAGGGACAGAGCAAAGTGCATGTTATGTGGCAGAGGAAGTAGGTGGGGTGGTGCTGGGGAAATGGGACTCCCTGTGTCCCTGCAGGAGCTCCAGCTACAGTCTTGTGGGCTTCCTGGCTCAGGGCTCTCGTCCTCCCTGGGTGCCCACTCCCCTGACCCCAATCTGACCTTGACTTGGAGCTTGACGAAGGAGGCACTCCCCTTGGGCCAGCCGGGGAGGCGGCCCCCAGCTCCGCAGCCGCAGCCTAGCAGCTCCTTGCTGAAGTCTGAGCTCTGGCTCAGCACTAGGGAGTGGTTGAGGCCACACCACAGGGCAATGGGCCGCTGCAGGTAACGAACCTGGGGACACACAGCCAGGGGCCCTGAGCAAGGAGCACCAAGGGACTGGGGAGCCAGAGTGGGAAAAGGTTGACTGGAAGGCTCCGGCAGAATGTGAAATGGGGATGACAAAATGGGAGCCAGCACTGCCCTGCACCCTAGGTCTGCCCTGCTGACCCCTGCAGCCCCCATACTCTAACTGGTCACATGGGGTCTTGTTCTTCTGTTGGTACCTCATCTATGCCCCCCAGAAAAGGGGGGCTCCTTTTCTGAGCCCTGGGCCTGCTGTGTACCCTCAGGCTCCTTGCCTGAGCCCTGGGCCTGCTATGTACCCCTCATTGTCAGCCCACACGTCTGTGCCAGTCCAGCCTCGGGGAGACTTATTCCTTGCGCAGTTCCAGGGTAGCCCACCACAACACCCCGAGGAAGGACTTTCCTTCCACTGTCCCTCCTGTCTGCTCTAGTATTTTCTTTTTTCTCTTTCTTCTTTTTTTAAGATGGAGTCTTACTCTGTTGCTCAGGCTGGAGTGCAATGGCAAGATCTCCTGGGTTCAAATGATTCTCCCACCTCAGCCTCCCAAGTAGCTGGGGCTACAGGTCCCTGTCACCATGCCCAGCTAATTTTTGTATTTTTATTGGAGACAGGGTTTCACCATGTTGAACAGGCTGGTCTCAGACTCCTGACCTCACGTGATGCACCTGCCTTAACCTCCCAAAGTGCTGGGATTATAGGCGTGGGCTACCATGCCCAGCCAGCACTCTAGCATTTCCATTTTCTTTTTTTTTGAGATGGAGTCTCACTCTGATGCCCAGGCTGGAATGCAGTGGCGCGATCTTGGCTCACTGCAACCTCCGTCTCCCAGGTGCAAGTGATTCTCCTGCCTCAGCCTCCCAAGTAGCTGGGATTACAGGCATGCACCACCATGCTCAGCTAATTTTTGTATTTTTAGTAGAGACAGGGTTTCACCATGTTGGCCAGGCTGGTCTTCACGGCCTCCCAAAGTGAAGGATTACAGGCATGAGCCTCTGCACCTGGCCTAGTATTTTCAACTTATACCATAGTTCTCTTCCAAAATGGCCGCCCGGTTTTTGAAAAAAACGCTTCTACTTGCTTCTTGCCACTTCCTGCCTGTCTCTCTCTCAAGCAGCAGAGTTGGTTACATGACCAATCTGAGCTTGACCACATTGTTGTTCCTTCCCACAGCAAGTCTTTCCAGCAACTCCCAGGGATCGGGCTTTTCTCTCTACTACACTACTGACGTGCTGTCTCTAAAGGCACTTGGCCTCTCAGCAGCTAAATCCCAGGGCCTCTTCGGCCTGCTCCTTCTCCTAAGCCTGTTAGCGCTTTAATTCTAAAGACACTGCTAAGTAATTGATGATCATCCTAGAAAAATTATGAAACGTTGGCAAGCAAAAATTAGTTTTAAAATCACTGGAAATCCCACCACCCACTATTAACATCTTGCTAGATATTCTTTACTGTTGGCTAAACAAATAAATACACATAAGTTGTATATTTTGTTTTAGAGAGAGGGTCTCAGTGTCAGCTAGGCTGTAGTACAGTGGTGTGATCACTGCAGCTTCTAACTCCTGGCCTCAAGCAGTCCCCTTGCCTCAACCTCCTTAGTAGCTGGGATTACAGATGCTAGCCACCAGGACGGACAAGTTATGTATTTTTAAACAGAAAATGAGATAGTGCTAGGTGTGGTGGCTCACGTCTGTAATCCCAGCACTTTGGGAGTCCGAGGTGGGAGGACTGCTTAAAACCATTAGTTCAATATAAGCCTGGGCAACAGAGCAAGACCTTGTCTATTAAAAAAAAAAAATTATCCAGGCGTAGTGGCATATTCCTGTAGTCCTAGCTACTTGGGAGGTTGAGGCGGGGGACTTGGAAGCTACAGTGGGCTATGATCATGCCACTGCACTTCAGCTTGGGAAGCAGTGAGACCTCATCTCAAAAATGTAATAATAAAAATAAAGAGTGGCTGGGTGCGGTGGCTCATGCCTGTAATCCCAGCACTTTGGGAGGCTGAGGCAGGTGGCTTACCTGAGGTCAGGAGTTCGAGACCAGCCTGGCCAACATGGCGAAACCCTGTCTCTACTAAAAATACAAAAATTAACTAGGCGTGGTGGCATGCACCTGTAGTCCCAGCAACTCGGGAGGCTGAGGCAGGAAAATCACTGGAACCTGGGAGAGGCGGAGGTTGTAGTGGGCCAAGATGTGCCACTGCACTCCAGCCTGGGAAATGGAGAGACTATGTCTGGAAAATAAAAATAAATGATATGATGTAAACTATTTCATAATTTTTTAAACCTAAAGATATGGCATGACTGTCTTTTCCATGTCAGTACTAAATGTATCTTACATTGTCACACCATCACCATTAACCAGCCTGCCACCCATCCCATATGAAACTTCCTTCTCCCGTGGCTTCTGGGACAGGTATTAGAGGGGTGCATGGCCTGTCTCAGAGGCACCTCTTCTTCAACCACTGCCTACCACGGGGCCTGCTTCCCAGAGATGCTTTTCAGTCTCTACCTCTGTCTGTGCAACCATGTTCCTAGGTAGAATGTAATTGCCAGCTAGATGTTTCCAATTGTGTGGGTTTTTGTTTTGTTTTGTTTTGTTTTTGAGACCGAGTCTCACTCTGTCGCCCATGCTGGAGTGCGGTGGTGCGATCTTGGCTCACTACAACCTCCGCCTCCCAGGTTCAAGCAATTCTTATACCTCTGCCTCCCAAGTTGCTGGGATTACAGGCACACACCACCACACCTGGCTAATTTTTGTATTTTTAGTAGAGACAGGGTTTCGCCATGTTGACCAGGCTGGTCTCAAACTCCTGACCTCAAGTGATCAGCTCACCCTGGCCTCCCAAAGTGATGGAATTCCGGGCGTGAGCCTCCCTGCCCAGCCTCCAGTTGAGTGTTCTACTCTCACTGCAAGAGGTCCAGGTTCACACTCTCTTCTTCCTTAAACCAGTACTCCTTTTTAACTCTCACTTTGTTGGTAATACCATCTTTCTTTCTTTTCTTTTTTTCTTTTTCTTTTTGAAGACAGGGTCTCTCCGTTGGCCAGGCTAGAGTGCCATGACATGATCTCAGCTCCCTGCAATCTCTACTTCCAGGGCTCAAGCGATCCTCCCACCCCATAGCCTTCCGAGTAGCTGGGACTACAGGTGCATGCCACCAGGCCCGGTTAATTTTTGTATTTTTTTCTAGAGACAGGATTTCACCATGTTGTCCTGGCTGATCTCGTGCTCCTGGGCTCAAGTGATCTGCCTGCATCAGCCTCCCAAAGTGCTGGAATTACAGGTGGGAGATATCACCTTTCTTCGAGCCACCTCTGGCTTATACCTCACTCTTCTACATCTAAACAGTTTCGAGGGCCTATTCATTTTCTTCCCAAATATCTCCTATGTCCGTTCCTTCCCATTCTCGCTGCAGCGACAGGCCTTTGTCACTCAACAGCCTCCTGGCAGGCTCCCCACCTTGGCCTCCTCTGCACAAGGCTGGCTGACATAAGACCACTACCTAAGTCTTATGTAACCTTCGAAGCCCTGCTCACATCGGTTTTTTTTTTTTTTGAGACAGAGTCTCGTTCTGATGCTCAGGCATCAGATGGTGCAGTGGCACCATTTTGGCTCACCACAACCTCGGTCTCCCAGGTTCAAGCGATTCTCCTGCCTCAGCCTCCCGAGTAGCTGGGATTACAAGAACATGCCAGCTAATTTTTCTTTCTTTCTTTTTATTTTTAGACAGACTCTTGCTCTGTCACCCAGGCTGGAGTGATGTGGTATGATCTCAGTTCACTGCAACCTCCGCCTCCTGGGTTCAAGCATTCTCTGCCTCAGCCTCCTGAGTAACTGGAATTACAGGTGCCTGCCACCACACTCAGCTAATTTTTGTATTTTTAGTAGAGATAGGGTTTCACCATTTTGGCCAGGCTGGTCTTGAATTCCTGACCTCAAGCGATCCACCCACCTTGGCCTCCCAAACTGCTGGGATTATAGGTGTGGGCCACCACCAAACCTCGACACCCAGATAATTTTTTATATTTTTAGTAGAGATGGGGTTTCACCATGTTGCCCAGGCTGTTCTCGAACTCCTGACCTCAAGTGATCTACCCACCTCAGCCTCCCTAAGGGCTGGGATTACAGGCATGAGCCACCACACCCAGCCCCTACTTAAACCTCTTCTAGAAGTTACTCTAGCTCACTCAGGTCACCCACTCTACCCCTTCACCAAATTTCTATTACATTTACAGTGTTCACTGCAGAGAATCGACCTCATAGTGCCAACCCTAGGTAAGACATGGGCCAGTACCACTGGCATTACATACTGGTTGGCTTAATTTCTCAGAGGAGCAGAAACTGGATTCTATGGAAGTTGGAGAAGTGGACAGATCTGGGGGTTAGGGGATTGGAGGAAGGGGGTTGGGAAGAATTGCTGGAAAATAATCTCACCTGTGTGGGTTCCCCTCGGTCCATTTTGTCCCCTGTTCCTAGCTGCCCGTATCTGTTATTTCCTTGCATAAAGATTCGGCCAAATTCATCCACCAGGCCAAGGTGATTGTAGCCAAGAGCACAGAACAGGATCTAGAGTGCAAGACAGAAAGGGGAGATAGGCATTCTGTTCTCTCCAGAGGAACTCTGAGCTCCAGAGTCTCCCAACCACTAACCTGGCATCCCCAGCTGATCTATCCAGCTATCTATCTATCTAAGAGATGGGTCTCGCTATGTTGCCCAGGCTGCCTAGAACTCCTGGGCTCAAGTGATCCTCCTTCCTCAGCCTCCCTCTGTGCCCAGCCCCAAGCTGATCTCTTTTTGCATGGCCCTCTCCCTGGGGATCCCCTGTCCATCTGGATCAATCATTTGATTCCTGAAGGTTTCAGACCTTCCAGTCCCTATGGCCCCACCCCTCTGGTTTGCCCCATCCCTCCAAGAGCCTACCTTGGCAGGCAGTGAGAGAGCAAGCGGCATCTGCTGGTCCAGGGGGTCAAAGGCTTGAAGAGTCCCAAAGAGATCGCGATACACCCCTGGGGTATGCACCTCGAAATACACTCCCCCCTGTTCTGGGGGGTCAGGAGCCTTCAGCTCAGCAGCTTTGGGCACCCATTTCCTAGGGATAAGGCCCCATCTGGATGAAAGCTACAGGAGCCTGAGAGTCCTCATACCCACTAGGAATGCATCAGCCATAATGTCTGGGAACCAAAAACATCTTTTATTTTTGAGACCAAGTCTCACTCAGTTGCCCAGGCTGGAGCGAAGTGATATGACCTCTGGTCACTGCAACCTCTACCTCCCGGTTCAAGTGATTCTCCTGCCTCAGCCTCTGGTGTAGCTGGGCTTACAGGGACCTGCCACCACACCCAGCTAATTTTTGTATTTTTAGTAGAGATGAGGTTTTGCCATGTTGGCCAGGCTGGTTTCGAACTCTGGGCCTCAGATGATCTGCCTGCCTCAGCTTCCCCAAGTGCTGAGATTACAGGTGTTAGCCACCACACCCAGCCCTAAACACATCTTTTCACTAGGATGCCCTCAGGGGTTCCTCATCCAGCTGGAGTAAGGGTGAGGGGTGTTGGTGTTTGGAGGGTCTAACCAAGGTTGGGGGCTTGCGGTGTGGTGGGGATCCATACCAGTGATGTAGAGCGTGCTGCTTTGGTTGGAAGTCATACAGGCCACGCGCAGGTGAGGCAGGCAGTGGGACACCTTTCTCAGGGCCAGCTGAACCGTGTAGGAGCGTGGCTGGTCCAGCTGGGTCTCATTCACTATCAAAGAGTAGATCTTTCCTTCCTCTGGGAGTAGGGGAGGGTGACAGTTAGCTGGGGAGAGGATTTTCCAATAGCTGTATAAACATCCCAAGAGGCTCCCTAAACTATACAGGTGACATATTTACTGCCCTAGAGTGGGGCTGGGAGAAAAAAGGCAAGAAAGAAATAAGGGAAGAGAGACCCCAAGTCTCCCAGACTCCAGCCACCACAATAAGTCAGGGAAGTGCTTCAGCATGAGAGACAAGTGGAGAGAAAAATCTAGCAGATTTGGTAGAATCCAATTTGAGTGAGAGGTCTGGGGATTGAGGGCCCTGCCTGGCATTCAGAAGTTTAGAAGTGGTCAAGTGTAGTGGCTCACACCTGTAATCCCAGCACTTTGGAAGGCCAGGGAGGATCACTTAAGGCCGGGAGTTTGAGACCAGCCTGGGCCACATAGCAAGACCCCATCTCTAACCCCCACCCACAAAAATTTTTTTAAGAAAAGTCTTGTGGGTCTTAGCCTCAAAGCCCTGCAGCGTTGTCAGGCTCAGTCCCCTCCCGAAAAAAAAAAAAAAAAAAGAAAAATCCTAGAGGGTCTCAGGCCTAGGGCTTAAGTATAGAGGACACTGGGAAAGTAGGGAGCAGTTTGGAGTATAATGAGGTGCTTGGCATGGAAGCTGGAGAGATCAGTTTTTTTTGAGAGGGATTCTTACTCTGTCACCAGACTGGAGTAAAGTGGCACAATCTCGACTCACTGCAACCTCCACCTCCTGGGTTCAAGCAATTCTCCTGCCTCAGCCTTCTGAGTAGCTGGGACTACAGGCATGTGCCACTATGCCCAGCTAATTTTTGTATTTTTAGTAGAGATGGGGTTCTCACCATATTGGCCAGATGGTCTCGATCTCTTGACCGAGACCATCATAATCTGCCCGCCTCGGCCTCCCGAAGTGCTGGGATTACAGGCGTGAGCCACCGTGCCCTGCCTTTTTTTTTTTTTTTCAGATGGAGTCTGGTTCTATCACCCATGGCTGGAGTGCAGTGGCACAATCTCAGTTCACTGCAACTTCTGCCTCCCAGGTTCAAGTGATTCTCCTGTCTCAGGCCTCAGTCCTTAGCCTCCTGAGTAGCTGGGACTATAGGTGCCCCCCACCATGCCTGGCTAATTTATATATATATATATATATATATATATGTATTTTTTTTTTTTTTTTTTAGTAGAGACGGGGTTTCACCATCATGGCCAATCTGGTCTTGAACTCCTGACCTCAAGTGATCTGCCTGTCTCGGCCTCCCAAGGTGCTGGGATTATAGGCGTGAGCCACCATGCCCTGCCAAGATCAGACTCTTTGTTTTTGTTTTGTTTTGTTTGAGATGGAGTCTCACTCTGTCGTAAGGCTGGAGTGCAGTGGTACAATCTCAGCTCACTGCCATCTCCACCTCCTGGGTTCAAGCCATTCTCCTGCCTCAGCCTCCCAAATAGCTGGGATTACAGGCACCTACCACCACACCCAGCTAATTTTTGTATTTTTAGTAGAGACAGGGTTTCACTATGTTGGCCAGAATGGTCTCAATCTCCTAACCTCATGATCCACCCGCCTCAGCCTCCCAAAGTGCTGGAAGGACAGACATGAGCCACTGTGCCGGGCCCAAGAAACTTTTTGAAATCATGTATTCACTAGAATAGTGGTTTGCAAACTGGTTTTTGGCAGCAGGGCCTTTTTCTTGTGTTTTTTTGGAGACAGAGTCTCGCTCTGTCCCCCAGGCTGGAAGGCAGTGTCACAATCTCGGCTCACTGAAACCTCCACTTCCTAGGTTCAAGCAATTCACCTGCCTCAGGTTCCCAAGTAGCTGGGACTACAGGTATGTGCCACCACACCCGGCTAATTTTTTTTTTTTTTGAGACAGTCTCACTCTGTCGCCCAGGCTGGAGTGCAATGGCACAGTCTCAGCTCACTGCAACCTCTGCACCTCCTGGGTTCAAGTGATTCTCCTGCCTCAGCCTTCTGAGTAACTGGTATTACAGGTGACCGCCACACCTGGGTAATAGTTGTATTTTTACTAGGGCTTTCACCATGTTGGCCTGGCTGGTCTCAAACTCCTGACATCAGGTGATCCACCCGCCTCAGCCTCCAAAGTTCTAGGATTACAGGTGTGAGCCACTGCACCCAGCCTTATTTTTGTATTTTTTTAAGTAGAGATGGGGTTTCACCATGTTGGTCTCGATCTCTTGAACTTGTCATCCTCCCACCTTGGTATCCCAAAGTGCTAGGATTACAGGTGTGAGCCACTGTACCCAACCTAATTTCTGTATTTTTAGTAGAGATGGGATTTCATCATATTGGCCAGGCTGGTCTCGAACTCCAGACCTCAGGTGATTTGTCTGCCTTAGCCTCTCAAAGTACTGGGATTACAGGCATGAGCCACCACACCCAGACTGGGCCTTTTATTGATGTAAAATATTAAGCAGAATCCTAGACTGGGAGACAGAGAAAAGCAGAGCTGTTTAGATGGAGACTAGGATAAGGTGGCATATGGAACCCGCTCTGAGGGACCTTCCTCCCCCTCCCCTGCAGCAGGGCCTGGGGAGTCTGCAGGAAACAGTTTGCAAAAGCCACTGCTTTGGACCACACCTGTGAGGAGCAATAGAGCCCGCTGGGTCTCCTGACCAACCAACACGATCTGCTTGAAGCTCATGGAGTGGTGGAATGTCATCTTGAAGACCCGCTGCCCACTAGACTGCAAGTAGACCTCCACGCAGTCACAGGTCCGGCTGCTGGTGGTACCCACCACTCCCTGCTGCTCCCGAGTGGCCAAGACATAGAGGTATTTTCGGTAAGCTGTGTCACACCTTGGGTCTGAGGCAAACTGGGGAAAAAGATGAAGGGTGTCTGGGATCTAGGATTTCAAAACCAGATGACGATGGGGCAGCTGGATCCTGGAGTGGGAGGGGAGATGCCTGGATCCAGGGTTGGGAAATGAGCCCTTGCTTTAAAGTTCCTATGTGGAAGGGCAGAGGTCATAGGAAAGATACCTAGGGACTGATGGGGGCCTAAGCCCCCAAAAGAGGTGTGGCGATATGGTTAGGCTCTGTGTCCCCACCCAAATCTCATCTGGCGTTGTAATCCCCAGGTGGGAGGTGATTGGATCATGGGGGTGGTTTCCCGCATGCTGTTCTCGTGATAGTGAGTTCTCATGAGGTCTTATGGGTTTATTAAACAGTTTTCCCTGCTCTTGCTTGTGCGCTCTTGCCTGCTGCCATGTAAGACGTGCCTCTTCTCCTTTGGCCACGAGTGTAAGTTTCCTGAGACCTCCCAGTCATGCAGAACTATGAGTCAATTAAACCTCTGCTTTATAAATTACCCTGTCTCAGGTATGTCTTTTTTTTTGAGATGGAGTTTCGCTCTTCTTGCCCAGGCTGGAGTGCAATGGCACGATCTCGGCTCACTGCAGACTCCACCTCCCAGGTTCAGGTGATTCTTCTGCCTCAGTCTCCCAAGTAGCTGGGATTATAGGCACCCACCACCACACCCAGCTAATTTTTTGTATTTTTAGTAGAGACAGGGGTTTCGCAATGTTGGCCAGACTGGTCTCAAACTCCTGGCCTCAGGTGATCCTCCATCTCCCAAAGTGCTGGAATTACAGGCATTAGCCACCACACCTGGCCTCAGGTACATCTCTATAGCAGCATGAAAATGGAATACAGGTGGGCCCCCAGCTACCAGGGTTCTGCTACTCACATCCTTCGCTCCACAACACAACACAACATAGCGACAGGCCCGCTTCCACTGCATCTGGCCAAGGGTGGAGGAGACCAGGGCATTTTTGAGGAAGAAGAGCGTCCCCACATAGTCAAGAATGAAGACGTGGTCCTTGGTGGGCAAGAAGCGGCGGTAGCCGTGGGCTAGCAGGGGGGCTACACTCTTGCTGAGACATCGGCGGCGGCCTCCAAATGCCTGGAAATACAGGCCCTTCGTGTCTGGAGGAGGGAAGGAGATTGAAGGTTCAAGGGATGGGATGACACCAGGGTGATGAGTCAGAGCTCGTGTAGATTTCTCAGACACCCGGGTTTGTAGCGCCTCCCTATCCCCCAGGATAGGGGAACAAACCCCTTATAAAGGAGAGGTGGAAAATAAGCTTAGATTATACCAGACGTGTGAACTTCAGTCTCCACCCCACCTCAGCCCAGGGTCAAACATGTGCTTCTTAATGAGCAATTCTTTGGTGCAACCTTGCATCAGTGATGTCAAGGAAAACTGTAAGAATAAAGACACAGAGGACGGGTGCAGCATCCCCCTCACCTTGAGCCCCACCTCCCATCCTCAGAGCCCAGTGAATTTTTGCATGCCTGTAATCCCAGCACTTTGGGAGGCTGAGATGGGTGGTTCGCTTGAGCCCAGGAGTTTGAGACCAGCCTGGGCAATATGACAAAACCCCAGCTCTACCAAAAATACAAAAATAAGCTGGGTGTGGGTGCAGGCACCTATAATCCCAGCTACTTGGGAGGCTAAGGCAGGAGAATCACTTGAACCCGGAAGGCAGAGGTTGCAGTAAGCCAAGATCACATGGGTGCTCCAATGTGGGTGATAGAGCAAGACCTTGTCTCAAGAAAGGAAGGAAGGAAAAAAAGATGGAAAAGAGGCAGGAAAAGGAGTGAAAAGGAATGATGGACGAAGGCCGGTCACCCTCCCTCACCCCAGCTTTGGATCTGCTTTCTGGGTCCCCCTAATATCCCAGTGGATGTAAGAAGTAACTACATAGAGGATCCCTGGAGGGGAAGAGGGTTTAGGGCATGGTTCTCAGGCTGGGGGCGATTCTGTCCTTCAGGAACATTTGTTGTCACAATTAAGGGGGGTGCTACTGGCCATCTGGTGGGTGGAGGCCAGGTTTCCTCCTTAAACATTCTACAATGCAGAGGAGAGCCCCCACAACAGGAATTATTTTGCCCAAAATATCAATAGTGAGTTCTGAAGTCTTGGGTTAGAGAAGAGAAAACTCCAGGTTTGGGGAGTGAGGATGCATCTAGGTAAAGAGTGTCTGTGTACAGAGAGACTTGGCAGGAAGGCCACTAATGGGAACTGTGGGTGGATTCTGAAGACTTGGAGGAAGTACTCAAGGGAAAATGTTTGAATTGGACCTGTTTCTTCTGGAGAAAGGAGCCCTGGAAGCACTGTTAGGAGTGTGGAGGTCATCAGGGGACTTTAAGAGTAGGAGGGCTAAGGCAGGACAGAGGCAAGGAGAATGGGAGGTTCTGGGGAAGGTGTACAGTTCAGAATGGCAGCTCTCTTCCAGGGCCGGACTCCGGAACCCTGATCTCGGAGGCGCAGACTCAGCCTGCGACAGATGAGTCTCCACACCCCCTCTGCATCGCACACTTTGTGGAAGTAGCGGCAGGTCTGGCCGAGGGCGACAAGGTCTCTGACTGGGAGGAATGAGATGATATGTTCCACCTGGGAGGGAGGAGGGAAGAAGTGTGGGGGGGTGGTCATCGGTGGCCCCTTGGTGGTATGGTCCCCAATCCTATTATTCTCAACCCGCCTCCCCAAGGACTCACCAGCTCTGGGGGGAACAACTGGACAGAAATCGGATTCCCTCTCCCCTTCTTCTCTTCACCCCCAAGCTCCGGGCCACAAGAAGGGCAGCTTCTCTTCACCTACCCGAGAAGGGGTTCATAGGGTCCCGTGAAGGTCCCACATCTTTTTCTCCCTTCTCTCTGCCTATCTTGGGGCTCATCTGACTCCAGCTCGGTGCAGTCATGTCCTCGTCTCTCCCCAGACCGACCCATCCCTAACTTCTCCAAATAAAACCTCCCGATCTCCTGCGGCCAGCCCCCCTCACCCAGAGCCCCTCCTCCTGTCTGCATAGCCCGGTGAATTTTTGCAGCTTCCGTCTCTGGCTTCTCCTCATCCTGGCTGCCCTTTCCCTGCTCCTGCCCTCCTGTCTCCTAGGCCCTTGGCCCCCTGTTCCTGCTGGCTTTCCCACACCATGTCCCCTGCCTAGGCTTGGGGGACCTCTGGGGCCCCTCTGCCTCCTAGGCCCCTCCCCCATGGAGTCTGTGGAGACCTCTCTGTGACCTCACTGTTCAGCCTCACAAACCTCTCCACTGTGACCTATTCCCCTTAATCTTGCCCAGGGCCCATCTCTGAACAGCTCCTGGGTTCTAGCTCAGTTCTAGCCATCAGTGGCTCAAGGGAAATGCATTTTACTGGAGAAATAAAGTGTGAATTATTTGTAGATTACACCTTTATTTCAGGGAGCAAGACGTTTTCCCATTTGAGGCCCTTTTAGTACTAACTCTGCAGCGAAACACTGGAGAATTCTTCACATCTCAGCAGGCCAAGGCCTCCAGGGATTGGTAGGTAGCTCAAGAGTATAAACTCAAAAAACTATAAACTCAGTTTGACAGGTGAGATGGAGAGGTGACTCTGCTAATAATTGTTTAGCTCAGAAATGATTCAGCAGACTTTTTAGTCTCGTGAAAAATATATTCAAAAGGAGACTGTGGCTGGGTGCCAGTGGCTCAGGCCTGAAATTCCAGCACTTTTTGATGGCCACAGTGCGAGGATGGCTTGAGGCCAGGGGTTCAAGACCAGTCTGGGCAACATAGAGAGACCCTATCTCTATTAAAAAAAACAACAACTTAAAAATTAGCCAGGCATGGTGGTGCACCGCTGTAGTTCCAGCTACTCGGGAGGCTGAGGCAGGAGGATTGCTTGAGTCCAGGAGTTCAAGGCAGCAGTGAGCTATGATAGCACCACCGTGCTCTAGCCTGGGTGAGAACGAGACCCAGTTTTAAGACAAAAATACAAAAAAAAAGGCCCGGTACAGTGGTTCATGCCTGTAATCCCAGCACTTTGGGAGGCTGAGACAGGTGGATCACCTGAGGTCAGGAGTTCCAGACCAGCCTGACCAACTTGGAGAAACCCTGTCTCTACTAAAAATATAAAATTAGCCGGGCATGGTGGTGCATGCCTGTAATCCCAGGTACTGGGGAGGCTGAGGCAGGAAAATTACTTGAATCCAGGAGGCAGAGGTTGCAGTGGGCCAAGATCACGCTATTGCACTCCAGCTTGGTCAACAAGTGCAAAACTCCATCTCAAAAAAGAAAAGAAACAAAGAAAAGCAGACTGCTTTTGCTTTCATGGGGACAGTAACATCACTGCATGTATAAAGAACAACCTATTGAGGTGGGACAAAGGGATGGATTTCCACTGAAAGCTTAGGATTTCTCCCAGGGTCTCTGATGCTAGCTTTGTCTTATGTGAGGTGAAACGGCAGGGGTTGGGGTTGTGTCTGTCCAGAATGGGTCAGATCTACACCAAGAAATCCAAGGAGTGGCTGGCTCTGTGCAGGGTCTCAAAGGAGTCCTGTCCTCCTGGCCCACCAGCCCTCACTGCACAGCGTCACAGACCCATCCACTGACTGCACCAGACTCCACCCAAATTCCCTTATGTATGGCGCCTAGCCATAGTTAGGCTGGGATGCCTAGGATGGAATTTTAATAACTCAACAACTATTCAGGAATATCAACCTCTGAGATATAAATGTAGGAGAAAGCAACCTCAGTGACTTGCTTCTGGGCAACCCACCGCATAGAAAGGGGACTGCATTAGGAACTTATGCCACCAGAAAGGAGGTTAAGATCTCCAAGTAGACAGAAAGGTATTTTTCATTCCTCTTGTGTTTGGGTCCCCTTTATCCACTCCATTTCACCCCAGGAGGCAAACGAGAGGTTGTGAACAGAAAAAGGCCACTGTGGGCCAGGTGTGGGGGCTCATGCCTATAATCCCAGCACTTTGGGAGGCCGAGGTGGAAGGACTGCTTAAGCCCGGGAGTTTGAGACCAGCCTGGGCAACACAGTAGGACCCTGTCTCTACAAAAATTAGCCAGCATGGTGGTGCATGTCTGTAGTCCCAGTTACTCAGAGGCTGAGGTGGTAGGTTGAGACTGCAGTGAGCCATGATCGAGCCAATGCACTCCAGCCTGGGCAACAGAGCAACTCTCTCAAAAGAAAGAAAAAGTCCATTGAAGGCCAGGTGTGGTGGCTCACGCCTGTGATCCCAGTACTTTGGGAGGCAGAGGCAGGAGATCGCTTGAGGCCAAGAGTTTGAGACTAGCCTGGGCAACGTAGCAAAACCCCATCTCTACAAAAATTAAAAATAAATTAGCCAGGCACCGTGGTGCCGCCTGTGGTCCCAGCTACTTGGGAGGCTGAGGCAGGATGATCCCTTGAGCCCAGGAATTCAAGGCTGCAGTGAGCCATTATTGCAGGACTGCACTCTACCCTGGGCAACAGAACCAGACCTTTTAACTTAAAAAGAGACAGAAAGAAAAAAGGAAGAGAAAAAAGGAAAGAAGGAAGAGGGAGAGAGGAAGAAGGAAGGGAGGGAGGGAGGGAAAGGGGTTAAAAAAAAAATCCTTTGTGAAAACTGAGGGAGCGGGAAAGGGCTGTGCGTGGAGGTTCCAGAGACCTGGTTTCTATGGCCAGCTCTCAGGATTTGCTGTTCGCTCTTGCTAACGCATCAACTTCCCTCTGCCTCAGTTTCTGCATTCGTAGCACCAAGGGTGTGTTCTAGGCGTTGATATCCTTTCTAAGCCTCTAAAATCCCCAGGTCTGGTCCCTTCTCCAGTCCTGTCCAGGGATGCTCCTCGGGAGAGACGGCAGACCGTGCAACGATGCACCTACACCCTCCCTCCTCCAGCTGGGCGTCTTCAGGCTCTGGGAAGCCCCCTCCCGCCACAGCCCGGGGGTCCTGAGACCCCTGCAGAGCTTCCACAACCGGAGGTCCCCCCCGCCGTCCCTTCAGCTGCGACAACTGCCAGCGCACTGGCCTCCAGCAGTCGCCCAACTCCCTTCCAGCCCTCGACGCCGGCTAGCCCCCTAACACGTCCAGCTCAGACTCGCCGCTGCAGCCGCGCACGGCGTTCCCACGCGGCCCGGGGCTCCGCATTCTTAACCTCAGAGTTAAAAATTCTAGCTCACCCGCCTCCTCCTTAGCAAAGAGACCGCCTTCTCGCTCATGCTATTGGCAGGTAGAGCCGTCCCTCAGAGAAGAGGCCCGTCCAGATTCCCTAAGGAGGATCTAATTGGCCTTCTTGACAGTCACTCGCTCGTATCTGGCTTACGATTGGCCCTTGTGGGACGAGGAGTAGGCGCCCCCTGCTTGCGGTCTCTCGGCCCGTTTCACTGCTAGTTGAGCGCTGTAGTCCCCTCCTCTTGGTTGAACCTGATTGGCCCCACCTCCAGATCTGAGCATTGTGATTGGGTCCGGCTGCGCTAGGCGGGACGGCTTGGAGCGTCGGCCGTTGGCGGGCGCTCTATGCTCTTTCCCCTCCCTTCTCTCGTCAGACTCCAGCGCCGGAGGCTCCACTCCACTGACAGGCTCTGATTGGCCGCTCCTGACGTGTCTCGGGACCACGATTGGTCCGTCGGGTCCCGGACACCACTCCCTCCCTCTTGAGGCAACTACGGCGGCTCCAAGGAGGTGGGTGGGAGAAGGAGGGACGGCCAGTCCCGTCAGTCAGGCAGCAGGAGCCGCCGAGAGCGGATGGCGGCGGCCGTAGTGGGTCCACTCGCCGCTGGGGGTGAGGAGGCGGCGGCAACGACCTCCGTACCCGGGTCTCCGGGTCTGCCTGGGAGCCGCACTGCAGAGCGGGCCCTAGAGGAGGCCGTGGCCACCGGGACCCTGAACCTATCTAACCGGCGCTTGAAGCACTTCCCCCGGGGTGCGGCCCGCAGCTACGACCTGTCAGACATCACCCAGGCTGGTGAGTGCAGCCGGGCCCTGGGCCCCAGGGCCGACCGGGGCCCTCATTTGCATATCCCCGCCCCGAATCCCCGCCCAGCCTGGGAATCGGGCCCGCCCCTTCACCTGGCGGCCAGAGTTGCTGCCCCTCCTGATTGCCGTAAACCTGCAGCCACCCGCTCCCATCTTTCGGAATTCCTAGACAATGCTTCTGGTTTGCACAGAACGCCCAGCGCCTCCGAGCGTTGGGAGTGATTCCTCCTTTCTCTTTATTTGCATAGCTGCGCACCTGTAGGATGGTCCCGCCCTTCACCTGGTTGGATCATTTACTTGACCTCTTAACCTCAGCTTCGATCAGTCCATGAAGCAGTCCCCATGAGCTCCTCTAATCACTACTTTCTCTCCCTCGTCTTCATCCACACCTCTTAACCCCCGTCCCGCCAAGATCCGAGCAGTCCTAGGCACCCCCTTCCCAGGGACTGGTCCCTACTCCCAAGGTTTCTGCTTTATGTGCTGCAACCCCGCCCTCTAAGGTCCTGGCCCTCTCCACTGTCCACGCAGCCCTCCAACCTATGGGAAAGAAGTAAATCTCTACCTCCCTCACTCTTTTCTCCTTGACTGCTTCCGCCTATTATCCCCAACCTCTTTATCTGAGACTCCTCCTCCTTCTTAAGCCTGTGAGGTCACTGTGGAGCCTGTGACCTCATAGGGACCCTATAATTCCCATTTCAGTTTCTGCTTTCCCCCAGGGGAGGGACTTGAGGCCATTGCTGGAGGGAAGGAAATCTTATCTCTTAGCTGGAAGTGCTGGCCAGCTAGAGACTATCCTTCCACGCCTCCACCCGCAGGATCCGTCCAACCATTCACCCTCCACCCTGGTGTCTGTGGATGGTAGGGGGTGGGGGACTTAACTGTGACAGGTGAGTCAGGCCTCAGCTGCTCAGGAGGCAGCCTGTGACCTTGGGCCTGCAGTTGGGGGTGGGTATCAGGAGCCGGGAGGAGGAGGACTGCATTCCCGAAGCCTCACCCCAGCCCAGGCCTCCTCCTCTCATCTGCAGGGTGGGGTACAGAGCAGGAGGAAAGTACGTATTTCTCCCTAAGCAGGTGCCTGCTCGCCTTGGAACACTCAGGCTGGCACTGGTACTTGCTCTCTCTCCTCTCCTTGGGAGAACCAGTGGTTATCCACGCTGATCTCGCCTGCTCTGCCACGGGTGAGATCGTGAGATGGGGAGATCAGGAATGAGTGAGCCCCAGGAGCCATTCCCGCCCCTTACAGCCCAGTTCCCTCCCACCACCACCTAACCCCACGCTCCAGATTGACCTCAGCAGCTGTGTGACACTCGCAGTCTGTTCCCTTCCCCTCCCCCTTGCTTGTTTTTTGACAAAGACCAAATGTTATTCTTTACTTCCTTAGGCTGTCTCTCCCAGCATGGACTCTTGGGGAAAACTACCCGGAGCTCCCCGGCCCCTCCCAGCTCCCGCCCCCTGCCCCCAACATTCCCGCTCAGGGTGCAGCCCAGCTCCTGTGAGCTTTCGGGGAAAATCCAAACTTCTGGAGAACACTGCTCTGCCCCACTCTCCATGCAGGAATCCTCAGTCCTTCCAGGGCCCAGGTTCTAGGCCAAGTGGGGTCCCTCTTGTCCAAAACTCTGTCCTCTGTCCCCTCTCCCCAAGCAGGGTGCTAGGGAGTCTAGGGCAGAAGGGGAAGTGACAAAAGCATAGAATTGCCTGCACCCTGCCCTCCCTCTCTTCTCACCCTCCAAGCAGACAAAAAGCATCAACGCTCTGCTGCCTGGACTAGCTTTAGCCTTCCCCTCCCATTTCCCATCTCTTTTTGAGCGTCTTCCCTATGGCCTGGGACCTTGATCTCCCTTGGACTAGGCTCCCTGGGATGATAGTAGGAAGAATCCTGAGGTGGCGGGAGGGGCTGTCTTGCAAAGGAGAAGTGCAGCTCATTCTCTCCCAGACCACATCCTGTGCCCCCTGTGCCCTGCCTCCCGCCAGAGCTCCCTTCCGCCCCTGGCTCTTGTCCCCTCCACTGCTTACCCCATCAGATCTCTGAGAACTCAGTCGCTACCCGCTTCGTCCACATGCACACACACAAACACACTTGCAGACGGAGAGAAAGTGGGCAGGTGGAGGTGTGGCTGGAAGGGGCAGATGCCATCCCCCTCACCCTCTCCAGAACAGTTATCTCCCAGGCCAGGAGATAGCCCTCTGTGCACCAGGGCTGGGCAGAGAGGAAGACAGAGGGGTCCCGAGGCATCAGGCTGTCATCCACCCTGGTAAACACAGGGCCTACCATAGACAGAAACCTGACAGATTGTTTCTGCTTCATTTCCTGTCACAAGACTCATTTCCTCAGGGTATATACCCAGCTTCTCCTCCCTTCAGCTTGCTTTTGCTGGCCTGCCCCTGCCTGAAAGGGCCCTTGAAGCTCACCAGGTCTGTGTGGCCTGGGACTTCCCCTCACAGGCCCTGGGCCCCTCCCAGGACCAGCTGGCTGAGGGAAACGAAAAGGCAGGCTTCTCCAGGTCTAAGTGGTTAGTGGCTCCACGCTAAAGGAATCCGAGGCTGCCAGCCTCTGGATAGCAAGGTAGTGCTCCAGATAAGACGGTGATAGTAGACCCCAGCCCTTCCCACACTCTCCACCCTTGCCATGCCCGAGATGCTCACACAGTTGCTGATCTCTTGAAGTCTGTGTCAGTAAGAGAGGAAGCAGGGCGGGGCTCCTGGAGCTGGTAGAGGGTGGGAAGGAGGCCTGCCCTGGGCCAGGGGAGCCCAGATGGGAGGGACCTGGGAACTCCAGCTCCCGTCTCCAACCAGGTCTTCTTGCCCTTCCCTCCTAACCCTTGGGAACTGGTAACTTTAGAGTCCTTTGGACCTGGCTTGCTGGTTGTTGGGGCTGGTGGAAAACTCTTCCAGTGTCAGGGACTTAATCTCTAGAGCTGAGAGAGAGTGGGCCTGTGGTTTCTCCCCCGTTGAAAACACTGGAGTAGGGAGGAAGGGTCCCAAGGAGTGATGGGCTCTCCCTGCAGTTCCCCAGGGGCTTCCCATATTCCCTCCTGGAGTCCCCCCAGCCCCACGCCTCACTGTTTTCCCTTCAGCACTGACCGCTTCTCTGCCCTTCTGTCCTCCACCTCACCTGACATCTCTGAACAGGAACCACAGGAGTTAGAGACTCCAGCTGCTCTCGAGGCTAGCTTGCCATTGACATCGCAGCATTCCCCAGCCCCCCCCCCAACCCCCCCAGTCTGGGCTTCTCCAGCCCAGTGACACTAAGGCCTTTGCCTTCCCTGTGCCACTCTGTTCACGCCTGGAATGTGTTCCCATTGGCAGAGGGCTTTGTTATCTCTCCTGGGAGGCCACATTTATGGCTTGAATCTTTAGGTCTGGAGGTTAGGGAGCGGGCAGCCGACTCTGGGGAGACTCAAGGTCTTGTCCGGGGCTGGGCCTTTCTGAAACTCTCCCCTGACACCTGCTTTCCCTAGACCTGTCCCGGAACCGGTTTCCCGAGGTGCCCGAGGCAGCATGCCAGCTAGTGTCCCTGGAGGGCCTGAGCCTCTACCACAATTGCCTGAGATGCCTGAACCCAGCCTTGGGGAATCTCACAGCCCTCACCTACCTCAACCTCAGGTAGGGAGCCTGAGCCAGGAGCGCATGGGAGTGTGTCCTTCTCAGCCTCAAGTACTACTGAGTGACCCTCCCGGTGACCCTGAGAGGATGGCACTGCTGGGATGCCATGCCTGGGAGCCAGTCCACTGCCTTTCTCCCTTCTACAGTCGAAACCAGCTGTCGACCCTGCCACCCTACATCTGCAGCTGCCCCTGAGGGTCCTCATTGTCAGCAACAACAAGCTGGGAGCCCTGCCCCCTGCTATCGGTGCCCTGGGAAGCCTTCGACAGCTTGTGAGGATGGGGACAGGGCCAGAAGAGGGACCCCTGAGCCAGGCAACAGGGACCTTCTTCGGGGAGGTTGGGGAAGGCCTGGACCAAAGAGAGAGTCAGGAGGGCAGGTTGTGCTCAGCCTGGTCTCATGGCCCCTTCCCACTGCCTTCCTGATACCAGGATGTGAGCAGCAATGAGCTACAGTCCTTGCCTGCAGAGCTGTGTGGCCTCTCTTCCCTGCGGGACCTCAATGTGCGGAGGAACCAGCTCAGCACGCTGCCCGAAGGTGAGAGGAATGAAGAACCAGGGAGGAGGTAATGGTGTGTGCGTCTCCGGTCGGCTCAGGCTGCGGGTAACAGAAACACTGAAGGCCGGGTGGCTTATATATGGCAGCCATTCATTTCTCACAGTTCTGGAAGCTGAAGTTCAAGATCTGGGTGCTTCCACGGTGGGGCGCTCTTCCGGGTTACACACTGCTGGCTCCTCATGGTACTCTCTGATGGTGGAGAACAGAGGCAGCCCTCTGGGGCCTCTTTGATAAAGGGGCACAAATCTCACGAGGGCTCCACCCTCATGACCTAAATTCCTTCCCTAAGGCTTTACCTCCTAATCCCATCGCTTTGGGGTTAGGATTTCAGCATAGGACTTTTGAGGGAGACACATTCAGTCCAGAACAGTGTATGTGCTTTAGAGAAGTTACAGGCCAGGAAGCCTCAGAGGAGAATTACACCTTCATTGCCCAAGCTTTTGCAATATATAAAACAAACTGTAAATGATCTGATTTGATCTGACCTAGCAACCCTCTGAGGCTGGCGGGGCGCAGATGAGCAGCTCTGTTAGAAATGTGGGGCACAGGCATAGAACGGGAGCTGGTGAGTGCATCAGCTCCCGATAGACTGGTAAGGTCGGAGGGGCCTTCAAGGTCACCCACCATCCCTGCTCACCCCAGCAGGGGCTCTCAAACACCTGAGTTGGGATGCTCTGCCACTCCTCCCAGAGACTCCCAGGCCAGTGCCAGAGCCCACACGGGCCCTTTACTGAGCTCATTGTGATGCACTCGTCGCCTCTGCTTCAAAGCAGGCATGCCTTTGATTCAGCAGGCAGCAGTGTGTTTTCGTGTCTGTGTGTGTTGTTGGTATATGTGTGTGTTGTTTGTGTGTGGGTTTGTGTCTGTGTGTGTGTTTATGTCTGTTTTGTGTGTGTGTGTGTGGTGTGGTGTGTGTGTGTGTGTTGTGTGTGTGTGTGGGTGTGGGTGTGTGCTTCCTGTGTTTTAGGTTGGGACCAGGTAGATGCAGGTGATGTGTCTAAGATCTAGGGCCATTTTTTAGGGATTTAATGGCTTCATGAGGAGAGACAGATAGTCATAGGGACGTCCCCCAGGCAGCATGCCTGGATGGGGGCCGGAGGAGAGTGAACACTGGACTCTGCTTGTGGGGCCTGGGGAAGACTTCAGCAGAGGGGCAGGAGCAGTAGGAGGTGGCCGTTGAAGGAGAATTCCCCAGCCTTCTGCATCCAGGCAGAGGACCGGACCCAGCATATGCAAAGCACGGGGCTAGGAAGGCAAGCCTGGTTTGGCAGGAAGGGCCTGTGTATGCTCGAGTGTGAACTTGGTTTTGAAGAACATGAAGGGAGTGAAGTGGTCATCTGTTTTCACCATCTCCACTACCTGATTCTTTCTGCCCTGCCCTCTTCCTTCCCAGTCAAAAAAATTATTTAAAAGAGCTCTTTCTGGGCCATAAAAAGAAATCCAAGCAACATACCCCGGGGACACAGAGGCAGGAGCAGTGAATTCCATGACTCTGGGATATCTGGAAAGATCCACTGAGGCGGTGATGCTTGAGCTGAACCTCAGAAGATGCGCAGACAGGAAACTGGACAGGTGCAAACAGCACCTGGGAAGGCTCAGAAGCTGAGGGCCTAGAGAGATGGGCAGTGAGATGGGACATGTGCATGGAGCCAGGTCATGGAAGCCTTGCTAGTGCTGGGTTTAGGGAGCTGTGGTTTTTAGTCTATGGCTAGGGCAACCATCAATCCAGAATGTGCCTTTTTAGGAATGAGCAAGGCTGGGCATGGTGGCTCACGCCTGTAATCCCAGCACTTTGGGAGGCTGAGGTGGGTGGATCACCTGAGGTCAGGAGTTCGAGAGCAGCCTGGCCAACATGGCAAAACCCTGTCTCTACTAAAAATACAAAAATTAGCTGGGCATGGTGGCAGGTGCCTGTAATCTCAGCTATTTGGGAGGCTGTGGCAGAGAATTGCTTGAACCCAGGAGGCAGAGGTTACAGTGAGCCGAGATTGCAGCACTGCATTCCAGTCTGGTGAAGGCTGGGCCCATGCTAGGGAGAGGGGACTCTCGAGTGGGCACAACCCACTCTACACTGGCAGCCCTAGCTGCACGTCACAGGAGGTGTTTGAGCCGGGTTTGTGTCTTGTGCTGATCATTTGAGAATGAAAGGTGGGTTCAAGTGTGGGGTGGGCAGGCAAGGAGACAAGGAGGGACAGACAGGGCTAAGTGGGAGCCGACATCTGGATGGGCCTTCCTGGGGAGGCTGAGCTGACTGATACCCGGATGGGCCCCTCAGGGAGGCTTGCTTAGACCATAGACCAGACTCATGGGGAGAGGGGCAGGGAGGTTGTTTCTGGGGAATGACTGGAGCCACCAGGGGAGAGGCTGTGCTGGGCCCAGGATGACTGGCCAGCCAGAGCCAGGGGCAAGGGAATGAGCATGAGGCCCCAGCCCTAAGCACGCTCCTGACTTCTTCCTTGCCCAGAGCTGGGGGACCTCCCTCTGGTCCGCCGGATTTCTCGTGTAACCGCATCTCCCGAATCCGGTCTCCTTCTGCCGACTCAGGCACCTGCAGGTCATTCTGCTGGACAGTAACCCCCTGCAGAGCCACCTGCCCAGGTGAGGCGGGGGCTATGGGGACAGGGGTGCAGCTGGGCAGGAGTGGGGTAGGTCCCCTTGGGTAGCTGAGCAGGATCCGGGGAGCCACCCTCTCTCCCAACTCCCCAACCTGTGCTACCCACACACAGGTCTGCCTGAAGGGGAAACTTCATATCTTCAAGTACTTGTCCACAGAAGCTGGGCAACGCGGGTTGGCCCTGGGGGACCTGGCCCCTTCCCGGCCCCCCAAGTTTCAGTCCCTGGTAAGTCCTAGGTGGGAAGGAAGGAAGCCCTGGGATACTTCATCCCCCTTCCTGGCCCCCAGGTACCACCTGCTTTCTGGTGGGAGGATGGGGGGCTGCTGTCCAGCATCAGACTGACCAGATCTCTCTGGCTGGCCCAGCCCTGCAGAGGATCTGTTCCCGGGACGTCGGTATGATGGCGGGCTGGACTCAGGCTTCCACAGCGTTGATAGTGGCAGCAAGAGGTGGTCTGGAAATGAGGTAATGGCGTCTTACATGGGAGATCGGGGGCTGTCAGCCCTGGGAGAACACCTTTGAACTGGGGACCTCCAAATTGCAGGGTGCCAGACAGAGGCTGGAGCTGTCCTCTTCCTTCCCCTCTCCCCAGCATCCCAGGGAAGAGACCCTGGGCTTAGTTCCCACACAGGCCCCCAAGAGGCCCCAAGCCCCCATGTTTAGAGAGGCCATCTCCCATCTCGTTTCTGCCTTTACAGTCAACAGATGAATTTTCAGAGCTGTCATTCCGGAATCTCGGAGCTTGCCCGGGAGCCCCGGGGGCCTAGAGAACGCAGGGAGGATGGCTCAGGTGAGTAGCAGGGCCGGCAGGGAGCTGGGCTGGACCAGGGCCTGGGTCCCCACCTGCTTGCTGACGTGCTGGCCCTCCCCAGCGGACGGAGACCCCCGAGCAGATTGACTTCATCGACAGCCATGTCCCTGCAGAGGATGAAGAGCGAGGCGCTGTGGAGGTGAGGGCCCAGCCGTGCCTCTCCCGAGGGAGGGGAGCTGGAGGAGGGGACAGGGCAGGCGTGGGCACAGGCCTGCCCTCAGCCACTCTCCTGTTGTCTCCTCAGGAGCAGCAACCACCTGAATTAAGCTCCGGGGCAGGGGACAGGGAGAGGGCATCAAGCAGCAGGTACCCTGAGCCGACACCTCTGCCTGATCCTCCTATCCCCCAGCTCCTCCTCCCCGACCCTGGGGTTGGCCCCTCTCACCCTGTCTTGGCCCCTCAGGCGGGAGGAGCCTGCAGGGGAAGAGCGGCGGCGTCCGGACACCTTGCAGCTGTGGCAGGAGCGGGAGCGGCGGCAGCAGCAGCAGCAGAGTGGGGCATGGGGGACCCTCAGGAAGGATAGGTGGGACCCAGGGCCTCTCCGGGCTGTTGCTGGACACTGAGCCCTGGAAATGGGGCTGCGGAGCTCTCCCAAGTGGTTCTGCCTTGGGGCTGGCTAACCCCACCTCTCCTTGTTCCAGCGTCTTGAAGCTGGGGCTCAGGGCTGCTGCAGGAGGGACCACCGCTGCGTCCACTCAAGCCACACACAAGTAGGTTTTCTGCCAGCATCCCCTCCCCACTCCTCTTCCTATGACCACCCCTCTGACTCCCTTCTGTCTCTTCTGTCTCTCCTCAGCAGCCCACCTAAGTCCAGTGCCTCCCAACCGGGGCCTGCAGCAGGGCAGGGAGCCCCCAGCCCTGTCCCCACCTTTCAGGAGCCCCTTCCCATAGCTGGACCAGGTGGAACAGGGACTTTGGGAGGAGGACGGGGGCCTGTGTCGGTGAGGGCTGGTTGGGAGAGTGGGACACAGAGGGGATGGCTATCTCACCCCCTCCTGTCACTGTGTCCCTGGTTCTGGCCCCAGTGACAGCACCTGTTCCTCGGCCGCTTGGCTCCATTCAGAGACCAAACAGCTTCCTCTTCCGTTCCTCCTCTCAGAGTGGCTCAGGTGCGTGTCTCCACCCTCCCCAGTGCTGACCTAGTGCTCACCAGCACCAGCCTCTACCTCACCCTCTGCCCTGGGAACCCTCTGGGTCTGTTGTCCCTTTGTGTTGAAAATCACACAAGCAGGCCGGGCGCAGTGGCTCACAACTGTAATCGCAGCACTTTAGGAGGCCAAGATGGGAGGATTACTTGAGCCCAGGAGTTCAAGACCAGCCTGGGCAACATACTGAGATGCCATCTCCATGAAAAAGAAAAAGAAAATCCCACAGCAGAGAGGTGGGAGGTGTGGGTGCCAGGCCAATGGGACCCAGCTACAGAGTCACTGGTGAGCAGTGGAGGTAGTCCCATGCCCCCCTTTTTCTTCTAGGCCCTTCCTCACCAGACTCTGTCCTGAGACCTCGGCGGACCCCCCAGGATCCAGATGAGAAGGACTTAATGACTCAGCTGCGCCAGGTAAGCAGAGGCGGGGATTGCGTGGGCAGGGGCCTAGGGCCTGGCACCTCCTTGTGTTGCTGTCCTTGGGACCCAGCTTCCCTCCATACTCTCTGTACCCACTCTGGCACCTCACCTGAGGATAGAAAGGGGCAGGCACAAGTTCCCTACTGGCTCTGAGCTCCCCCCTCTGCCTGCCTCCCAGACACCTCTCCTTCCCTTACTCCTGCTCTGTCATCTACATTCCCAGGTCCTTGAGTCCCGGCTGCAGCGGCCCCTGCCTGAGGACCTGGCCGAGGCTCTGGCCAGCGGGGTCATCCTGTGCCAGCTGGCCAACCAGTTACGGCCTCGCTCCGTGCCCTTCATCCATGTGCCCTCCCCTGCTGTGGTCAGTTGGGGCCAGGGAGGAGACAGGGGATGGGCCAGGGGCACCTGCGGACTTTGTCCGTTACCACATTTTCTTCTTTTACCCACCCCAGCCAAAACTCAGTGCCCTCAAGGCTCGGAAGAACGTGGAGAGTTTCCTAGAAGCCTGTCGAAAAATGGGGGTGCCTGAGGTATGGGGGCTGCTTTCTAAAGAGTGGTGGCATCCCCGGCTCAAGCATGTGGCATGGATGGCAGGTTTCCATTTGAAGCTGGTGTCTGCTCTCAGACGGAGGCCCCTGCCCTGCCCTGCATGTCACCTGTCGTATGTCCCCTGCCCTGCATGCCCCATCTTGTCCTGCATGTCACCTGCCCAGCATGACCCCTGCCCTGTACTCCCTGTCTTGCACGTTAGCATGTGGGCGTGGCTCTGGCCCCGGCACATGAGGGCAGGGGTGGGAGGGACTGTCCTGCTGCTGCTGCTGATGTCTGTCCCTTGTCCTTGTCCACTTGCTCTCCTCTTCCCCCAGGCTGACCTGTGCTCGCCCTTGGATCTCCTCCAGGGCACCACCCGGGGGCTGCGGACTGTGTTGGAGGCCGTGAAGCGGGTGGGGGGCAAGGCCCTGCCGCCCCTCTGGCCCCACTCTGGTCTGGGCGGCTTCATAGTCTTCTACGTGATCTTCATGCTGCTGCTCTATGTCACCTACACTCGGCTCCTGGGTTCCTAGGACCCAAAATCAGCCCTCCTTCACCCCTTTCCCTCCCCCCTTCTATTTATAAGGCCCCTGCTCCACCTGACCCCCACCATTGGTGCCTTCAGCCCCAACCAAAGACACTAGTGCACCCCTTCATAGACACTGACCTCAGAGGCCCCACTCTGGTGCCCCCAGACCCTGGCCCCCAGCCTCTGGCCTCCCTCCGATAGACCCATGAGTCCCCACCTCTGTTGACAGTGCCTTCATGCCCCCGCTGGCCCCTGCCCCTGCCCTCTGTGCCCCCTGAGGGGTGACAGGAGCTGGAGTTCCCCCTTTCCTTTTATGCCCTTCCCCCCACCAGCTGCTATGGGGGGCTAAATTATCTCTTATTTTGTAGAAAGGATCTATATTTGTAGGAGTGTGGGGCCCAATCCAGGTTCCTATCTCTCTATAAACTGTACAGAGACCGTGGCCGCCTTGCCTGTATATGTGTGTGTGTGTGTGTTCGTGAGCATGTCTGGTCTGTGTGTGTTCTGAACGCCTCTGCTCTCTGTGGTGGTGGCAGTGGCCATGGCCATGGCTCTGTGCCCTCCCAGCATCTCCTTCTGGAAATGCCAGCCTCATGCTCCCAGAGCCTCAGCCCCTGTGTCATTCTCCCTTCTGTTACCGCTGACAGCTTTCTTGGGTCCCATCTGTCACCGAGCCCCGAGTGCACGGTGTCTTCCACAATGCCCGTGCCTGCCCCCGACCCCCTGCCATGGGTGGGAAGTCGTCGGGGGCACTGTGGGGAAGCTAACCTGGCCCCTTCCCCCAGGAGTCCCTGTGCCAGCCCCACCACATCCTGGAGGAGGAGGGGGCCTCAGGAAGGGGCCTCCCCTACATCGCTGCAGTCGTCCACGCCCTGCTGGACCGGGCTTAGGGGGTGAAGGTGGGGGCACAGGGCCCACCCCACCTAGGACCCGGGAAGTAGAAGACGCACCTGGGCTCCATGCTCTGAGACAAGGACTCGGTGAGGGCAGCCTGGGCCCCCTCGGCCTTCAGGCTTGGCCGTCTCCGGGGGTGGAAGGCCCACAGGTGTCGCAGGTGTCGTGTCAACTGCAATAAACAGAAGCCAGAAGTCCTCTGGGTGGCCCTCAGGTGTGACTGTGTCTGAGCACGCGCGTCTCGGGGCGGGGGTAGCTTCTGTGTGGGGATTCTCCGCCCCGTCGCCAGGGGGCGCCTGCGGTAGCCCGGCGGGGGCACGCTCCACGTGGTCGGGAGACGCACAGGGCGTCGGCGTTGCCGCGAGGCCTCAGGCGTGAGCTCGCCACGCGGGCCAGTTCGCGCCACGCCGCGGACGGAGGCTGAGCGGGCCGGGCGGCGGGGACACGGCATGTTGCCCTGGTCGCCACGGCGGTGGGGCACGGGCCCGGAAGAGGCACCCGAGGGACTAGGCCCCACCGCGGGCAGGGACCAGGGTGAGGCCTGGAGCTCTGGAGCGGACGCTCCCAGGGAGCTGGGGACACCCCCACAGGACAGGTGAGGGGCTTAGTTGGAGCACGGGGGACAGCGACTGGGGCCTCCATGCCTTCGCCTGCGCTCTACGGAGGCGTCTTCATTGTCTCTACCAGACTGGGTCTGTCGGCTTCCCTTGCACCAGGCACCCTTGGGCTACAGGGGAATGTGTGTGGGGGCAGGGTGGCTGCAGCTTCAGTCCCTGCCCCTCCAGCCCACAGCCCCCATCCCGCAGACATTCCTGGACCCAGAGAGAGCAGCTGCTGCTGCCCTGCCATCCGCCAGGTCCGGCCACTGAGAAGCCCCTCGGAGCCCCAGGTAGGACTGGCCCTGCTGCCTCTACTGCCCCAAGAGCCTCTCACTGACTCTGAGCCTGTTGTAATCCCCAAGTGTCTCCCCCAGTTCCCCTCCCCCCCCAGATGGCCTGGGAGGAGGCCCCCTCGAGGATGACCCCTCTAGCACCCTGGGACCCCAAGTACGAAGCCAAAGCAGGGCCTCGGCTGGTGTGGGTGAGTTGGGGGAAAACCTGTGGGGTTGGCTGGGGCACGCATGGACACCTTGCAGTGGCCTGAGGCTCTATCTAGTGCTCTGTTCTCCCACCAGGGGGCCAACTGTAGCTCAGGAGCCTCCTTCTCAGGCCGGACGCTATGTCACCCCTCGTTCTGGCCACTGTATGAGGCAGCCTCAGGCAGGGGTCCCCAGCCCGTGGCCCCTGCCACAGGGCATCAGAATGGACAGCAGGCGCACCCAGATGCAGGTACCTCCCTCAGTCCGCCCGGGTGCAAGGCTGCCCCAACTCCTGCAGGAAGCAGCGTCCAGGGGTGGGAGCCCCCAGCCCGCCACCCTAGCCGTGTCTCCTCCCTAGGGTTCCCAGTGATGTGCGGTGAAGACGTCTTCTTCTCAGACCCTCTGCTGCCCCAGGGACAGCGGGTCCCCTTGTACCTTTCTGAGGCCCCCAGCAGGTGAGAGCCCTTTCCCCTCCCAGCCTCCAGGCAGGCCTGGAAAGAAACACATCCCATTCTCTCTCCTCAGGTGATGAGCTCCCTGAAGCTGCTGCCGCCACCCTCCATAATGTCCCCCTGGGTCTTCCCCAGCCTGTCACCCTCCCCAGGCTGCTCCACTGCCTGGCTCAGTGGGCCAGAGCTGATAGCTCTCACCGGCCTGCTGCAGATGAGCCAGGGGGAGCCCAGGCCCAGCTCCTCCATGGCTGCCACACCCACTGCTGGCCCCCCAGACCCTGCCTCTGACCCAACCAGCCCCTGTGGTGGCTCCAGCAGTTCTCACGGTGCTGACCCCTCTCTCCCACAGACCCCAGACACCCATTGTTCATAGCCTTCTTGGAGCAGGGTGGGCTGGTTGTGCTGACAATAAAAGTGTTGGTTTGCAAAACAGGCTCCGTGTGGCCAGGAGCAGAGGAGGGCATAGAAGCAGGAATGGGGTCTCCTCTGTCCCACCGCAGGCCGGCCAGGAGCAGAGGAGGGCATAGAAGCAGGAATGGGGTCTCTCTGTCCCACCGCAGGCCGGCCAGGAGCAGAGGAGGGCATAGAAGCAGGAATGGGGTCTCTCTGTCCCACCGCAGGCCGGCCAGGAGCAGAGGAGGGCATAGAAGCAGGAATGGGGTCTCTCTGTCCCACTGCAGGCCGTCCCCCGAGGAGGGTGTTAGGTGGAGGGCAGGGGTATCCATGACCTAAGTTGTTTCTGGGCTGACCGGGCAGAGCCCCTTTAATGAGTGGGTGGGTGGTCTGCATGACAGTGCAGGGCTGATTGTATAGGAAGCAAGGAGTCATAAACTCTGCCAGGCGGGGAATTAGGGGCAACTCACTTTTAGGGGGCACAAGCAGTAAGATCTCTGACACTCCCACACCTCTTGTGCTGGGGCCCTGGGAGTTCATTTCTTGGCTGGGTGGGGTAGTTGTTTGGCTCAGAGGAGACCAAAGAACGCACTGCAGGTGTGTGGGGAGGGTGACGGTACACGTGAATGTCATTATTGGTGGAAAGCAGCCCTGCCACAGCCGACCTGAGACTTGAGATTCTTGCACCAACTCTGCAGGGAAACAGAGAGGACCAGGGCTTCAGCCCAGAAAAGTGTAGTTTCAGTGTTTTGGGTAGGGATGGGTTCTAGAATTTTCTCCAACTTCTTAGAGAACCTCCTACTCAAGACTTAGGAGCCACAGCTGGAAGGGACAGAGAGGGCAGAGGCCCCAGCTTGTTGCCCTGCTGGTCACATGTCCTAGGTGGCATCTGGGCCTTACAGCCCCTCCCATGATGGGGGGTTGGGGGGGATATTACAATGCCCTTCGCTCCTGTCTTTCCGTGAACCCTCACCGTTAGTCAGCGGGAGAGAGAGAGACCCAGGTGTCAGGTCTCCTCACTGGTGCCTCCCGGGAGCTCTAGACTTCAATGCCCGAGTAGCTGTGCAGACAGAGTGTTCAGGGGCCGAGGACTTCGCAGAGTGCCCCCAGAGAAGGGACCAGGTCCAGGTCCACGTAACTGAGGCAGCTGTCAGGGGCTCCAGCCTGGTGGTGCATGTTCCCAGGCTCTCTGGAGCTGCAAACTTGAGGCACACTTAACTCCCCAGCCAGCTGCAAGGGGGGCAGGAGCAGTGCTGAGCCCCTGCCCATCCCCAGCCACCCCCCACACCACGATGGGCGCCCCTGCCCATCCCCAACCACCCCCCACACCACGATGGGTACCCCTGGGCCTGGGTCCAAACTCCCCAACTCGGACTTGTAGGGATAGTTCCTATGGGCTTGTAGTCACTACCCACTCCCTTGGTTATGTAGCCCCCACCCCACCCCTCGGGGTACAAGGTTACCCCTCCCAGCTTTGCAGGATCTTCAGGACTACTTGCTGGGTTCCCTGTCCCTGACACCCCCAATGGCTCAGGCCAGTTGGCTAGGCCGCAAAAGCCGAGGTCTCAGGGATGGGGGACAGGGAGTCTGAAGTCTGAACACTCTGCACAGCTACATGCTCATCGCACGGTTCTGGGCAGTGACTCAGCTCTGCCAGCCACTCCACCGCCCCCGAGTCACTTCATGGCCACGAGGAAGGTCTCGTGAATGCTTTGGGCCATCGCTGCGTGTCGGGCTCCTGCAGCCTCAGCTCCCTGGGAGCGGCTGAGCAGCCGAGCACCAGGAAAAAGCCTGGGTGGCCGCAGCAGCGCTCACTGAGCAGGGGCAGGTGCAGGGCATCCAGGGAACCTCTGCCCCGGAGCCCAAGTACAGGTGGTAGCCGCCTCCTAGGCCTCGGGTCCCCCGCAGCAACTTGGGCCGCAGCGTCAGGAGCCAGACCACCTGGAACGGAGCGAGGATCCAGCTGTTAGCCAGGAGTCCAGTGGCGCGATCTTGGCTCACTGCAACCTCCGCTTGCCCTTTTCAAACAAATCTCCTGCCTCAGCCTCCCGAGTAGCTGGGATTACAGAGGCCCGCCACAATGCCCAGTTAATTTTTGTATTTTTAGTAAAGACTGGGTTTCGCCATGTTGGCCAGGCTGGTCTTCAACTCTTGACCTAAGGCGATAGGCCCGCCTCCGCCTCCCAAAGTGCTGAGATTACAGACGTGAGCCACGGCGCCTGGCCTTAGCCCAGGAGAACTCTAAACCTGCAAACCCTTTAATGTTTGAACTTTCGGTGACCTGGGGGAGGGGCGATCCACGGAAAAAACCACAGCCACAAGCCCCCGGGGGCCCCTCGGCAGCCCGGGACTGGGCCTCACTGGCGGCGCCTAGTGCCCGGAGCAGGACGTTGTGCCACGCCTGCTCCTCGCCTGGCTGGCTGCCGCTACACACAGGCTGCTTTCGCGGGTGTAGAGGACGATCAGGCGGCGCTGGCGTGCATCTGCGCACTTGCTGGTAGTGCACGCGCCCGCCGGGCTCAGGCTGCCCCGAGGCCGCGCTCGGAACACTGAGCTGCTCGCTCTAGGAATACTCGGGACGCGGCTTGTCTGTGCGCAAGTGGCCGCAGAACCGGACGTCGGCCAGGCAGGCCCAGGGCAGCGGCGGGACTGAGGGGCACGGCGGCCTATTGGGACTCCGGGCTCGCCCGGGGCCACCGCCTGCCGGCTTCATCCAGGCTGGAAGGCAAAGTAGCCACAGGAAGGGTGGAGATGGCTGGGTCTCCCGTCCTGAGCGCGGGGAGAGGCCAGTAGGGGTGGGGGTGAAGTGGCAAACCCGGTGGACTGGGAGCAGCAGCTAGGCAGGCTGCCACCCGTCTTGATGCCCAGCGTCTCTCCCGGGCTCCCGACTGGAAGTTTGGGGCAAGGGCTCTGCACACAGCTGGTGTCCCGGTGGTTGCTGCCCGTGGCCTGGGCCCACCACTGCGGAACCCCCACCCCACGAGGCTAACCCTCAGGTGCCCTGGCGTTGGAATTTGAGTAGGGAAGTCCAGGAGGGGCGGCTTCAACCCCGAGACTGAGCCTTTATACAGGTAGGGAGAGTGGGGGCATCTCTACCAATTAGCTGACTGCAGCGAGGCCATCGGGGCAACCGAGAAAGCCTCTGTGTGAGGCCAGTGTGACTGGATTTGTGGCAGCAGTGGTGGCGTGGGCAATTAGAGGGCGGCGTAGCAGGGGCCTCCATGCTGGCTCTTGCTGCACCTACCTTGGTCTATAGGTGTCCTTCCCTCATGCACCCCCTCCCATCCAGGAGTGGTCTTGTGCCCTTCCAACGCTGGAACCCAGTCAAATGGCCACTGAAGGAGACCTCAGAGGAAGAGGCCATCTCTCAGACCCCCTTAGACTACCCCATTTCTCTGGGGCCCTCCTGACCACCAAATGCTCTGCCCAAAAATGCGACCCTGGGACCACCTGAAGGCTCTGACCGTGGACTTCCTGGTGGAGGTACCCTTTCCTTCTTGGAAAAATTGTGATTGGGCTGGGGATTGGACATTGTTGCACTCAGTTCTGATCCAAGGACCACTGACCCCCAGTGGGATGGAGGTGAAGGTGCACAAGACAAACCAGCAGGTGACCTGGTAGGATCTTAGAGGACCCTGGGGTCACCCAAGGTGAGTAAGGTGCCTAAAGGAGGAAGCTGAGTCAGGGAAGAGACCAATGTGCAGCCCCAGTAAAGATGGCATTCAGGGAGGAGCTCCCCCAGGGAAGGGGCAAGATATGACAAAGACATGACAAGAGAACAGAAGAACCCAGACCTAATCCAAGGGCCAGGGCAGCCTGAAGCAGGGTGGGCAGGGCTTCCCACCACACTTCTTGCCTCCTGGGGTAGGGACCCTGTGTGAGTGGGAATACAGAAGCCGAGTGCCTTGTGCATGGAGCTGGGATCCTGGCACACCTTTTCCAAGGTCACATTGAGAGGGAGATGCAGGGAACCAACCAGCACCCAGTCAACAGGTAGGTGGGACCCAGGGCCTGCTCCAGGTGAAACCTGGTCAGCCAAAGCCCCACCGGGGTGCAGAAGAGGCCAAGTTCAGGTGGTGTGGGGTGGTGGGGGGCATGGGACAGGGCTCGGCTACCACCTGTGGTGGGTGTTGGCCACAGAGAGGCAATGGCTCTGTAAGTGGCCACCAAAACCCACGTGGCCAAGGGCCTTGATACAGGCACCATGTATGTACAAAAGGGCAGGGACACAAATGACATCATGTGCACGTCCCTCCCCCTCTCAGTTTTGCTGCTGCCTCAAGGAGCAGGCCACCAAAGGGCCCCTGTCCCTGCTGCACTCCCAGCTCGGGAGCCTCTTTTACTCCCCAAGGCTTGAAGCTACCCAAGGAAGATCTCTTTATCGCTTCCCCTTCCCAGTCCCCATCAACCAAGTCCACCTGCAGCACCCTTCCTTGTAAAATCACAGCTGCTGTGACAGCAACCAGCTCCAAACCACTGTGTCACTGAACCTTGGGTGCTGGGTGTGCACAGGCAGGAAAGGCAGGGATCTGAGGGCCTGGGTAAGCCTCAGGGGTGGATGCTGATCAATGCCAGGTGATCAGTGCCCAGTGACTGGGCCCGCTGATTACCAGGACAAGCCTGGACTGACGAAACTGGCCTACATCAGTTGCCCTGGCAACATGCTGCCCTCTGCAGCCCTACCCCAACAAGATTAATTTCAGCCGGTAGCCCTGGTAACTTGAGTGACTCCCCAGGGACAGGAAGTGGCAGAATCTCAGCTCTGCCTCTCCCAACCTGAGGGGTCCACCTTTCATCCCTGCTAGAGACAGGTCACTGTGTTCTCTGCCCCTATGGAGGAATGTCATGGGGTTGGGGGGAAACTAGGCTGTTTCAGCGTGCCCCTCCCTCCCCAGTCGGAGCCCTTGCTCTTCTGTGGAAGGCAACGCAGGGATAGAGCCACACATTCAGCCCCTACCCTCAGCCCTGCTCCCATCCCCTGGCCTACATGTCTGACCTGCAAGCTCCAACGTGGAGACCCCTGGGGGCTGGCTCCTGCT